TTTTGACTTTGTAATTCTTGTCCTAAGGACATGATTTTGTCTTCTTCAAGCTGTGACAAGTCTTAGATAAGTTGATGGGTGGCAAATGCTGCTTCCAAGCATTGACCAACCCTCAGAGTGTGGATGGCAACTGTGCAGTCTCCTGTAAGCAAAGGTTTCAGTCCCAGTGTGGTGGGCAGCTGCAGGTGCTGTGCATCAGCTGATGGAATATTTTGGCATTAGAAAATCGAGCCTGAAATCAGGAATTCTCTGTCAAGTCTCTTTGTTTCTGCGGAAAGCTCAAAACTCTTGTTTAAACTATCCTTCAGTGGTGAATAACATCATCAGTGGTGCCCAGCTTCTCTTTGGCTCTGAGCTCAGCTGTGTTTGAGCTGCATTTTCAGGGTGATGTTTCTCACTGTGCCAAATGGATCCAGTGGCAGCCAGCCTCCTCCTCCTCCTCCATGTCTGCCATTGTCCTGCATGCCTGTGTGACCCAAAACAAGACAGTTCAGCCAGCAGAAAATTCCCAGTGATTGGTTTTCTGTCCCCTTAATGAGCTGAAATAGCCATGAGTTCAGATTCAGGTCAGAAAGGATCTCGGGGTTGCATGGCTCAATTCCTGCAAAGCAAGGCCAGCTTTAGAGTTGGTTAGATTGCTCAGAGCTCAGGTGAGCAACAAAGCTGTGGCACAGAGATGCTGCTTTACTGAGGAAGAGTTGATTTTTTTATGTAAGAGAGGCTTCACTTGATTTTCTGAAAATGTGGCTCCTCTTAGTGGCTTGTACAAGGAAGAAGAAAGTGAGGATGTCTCTGGCAGCTGCTCATTGTTGGGCTGACTCTGTCACCAGCTGAATCATAGAATGACAATATCCTGAGCTGGAAAGACCCACAGGATCATCCAGTCCAGCCCCAAACCCTGCCCAGACCCCCCACCAACCCCACCCTGGCCATCCCTGCAGCGCTGCCCAAATTTCTCCCTCATCCTTCATCTCCCCCATCCCTCACTCTCACACAATCATGGAATGTGCTGAGCTGGAAGGGACCCACAGGGATGATCAATCCCAAAGCCAAACCCTGCCCAGAGCCCCCAGCAAGCCCAGCCTGGGCATCCCTGGAGCTCTGGCAGCCTCGGGGCCGTGCCCATTGCCTGGGCAGCCTGGGCAGTGCCAGCACCCTCTGGGGGAAGAGCCTTGCCCTGATCTCCAGCCTGAGCTGCCCTGGCCCAGCCCCAGCCGTGCCCTGGCTGCTGTCCCTGTCCCAGAGCAGAGATGGGAGCTGCCCCTCGGGAGGAGCTGCAGATCCCTGAGCTCTGCCCTCAGTGTGCCCTGCTCCAGCTGCACACACCAGGAGCCCTCAGCTGCTCCTCCTGTGGCCCCTCTTTGGACACTCTTTGATATCTTTAGATCCTTAATAATTAAGATGTAAGAATAGTAAGAATAAGATGCAGTAAATTGAAGTTTTTGGCAGTTAAAGGAGACTTTGGCAGTGCTCAGAGCTGTGAGATGATCCTGCTTGCTGGGCCCAGCTGTTTCCACCTCTGGAGCTCTGTGGGTGCAGGCAGGGCTGAGTGCTGAGCACTGATCCCTGCATAGCAATCCTGTGTTTCTGGACCACATCTGCATGACAGCAGGGGCTGAAATCCTGCAGGAAAATAACAGGCACCTGAAAAGGAGCTGCAGGCTCCTTTTGGAAGCATGCAGTCACTGGAAATGTGTTACCGAGCTTGCAAGGGTACCTCAGGGGTGAAGAGAGAGACGAGAATCTTGACTCCATGATCAGAAGGCTGGATTTATTAATTTTATGATATATATTACATTATGACTATGCTAATAGGAATAGAGAGAGAAGTTCAGAAACTTGCTATGCTAAGAATAGAATAGGAATTAATCAACAAAGGAGCTCTCTCTGATACTGTCCCAGCTTGGTCTTTGATTGGCCCTTAATTGTAAACATGCAACATGGGCCAATCACAGGTGCACCTGTTGCATTCCACAGCAGCAGATAACCATTGTTTCCATTCTTCTTCTGGGGCCTCAGCTTCCCAGAAGGGGGAAAAATCCTAAAGAAAGGATTTTCCACAAAAGATGCCTGTGACAGAAGTGGTCCCTTGGGGGTGACAGAGTGTGGCCAGCTGTAACCCTGTGCTTTGGGGGCTGCACCATTGATGTGCAGGTACAGCTGGTGGCAGGACTCTGCTCAGTATCTGCTAGGGCAGCAGAAATGTGTTAGCACAGCCTGGTGTGTGCTCAGATTCTGGTTCAAATCCAACAAAAAGCCAGGCAAGTCTGCTGGATCGTGGGAGGATAAGAGCTCATTTCATTAAATCACTGCAGGTCAGAAAAATGTCTGTGCATTGCATCAGAGTGATGGAATCAGCCCCAGGGAAAACATCAGTGCCTGTCCAAGGCTGTGCTCAGGGCTGTGCTCTGCAGCCCTGCTGGGCACACAGCACCAATCTGGGTCACAGTCTGTGTCTCTCTGGCCTGAGCTGGCTGCACATTTAGATGTAATTTTGCCTGTTTGAGTGAGCAGCCTCCCTTGCTGTGGCAGCTCCTCCATCCCTGCAGGAGCTGTGGCTGTAGAGGGACCAGGGATGTGCTGCCAGGGCCACAGGCACAGTGGGGACTCCTCTGGGTGGCTGAATGACATGAGGTGTCCCATCAGGGGATCTGCATGCACCCAGTTATGGGATTTTATTGTCCAAATCCCACAACCAATTCTTCAAGCCTGGTAAATTACTATTATATGTACTGTCTTTACAGCTGAACTGGGCAACAGATTTTTCTTGCATTTATTTCACCAAAAAATGAAATCACTTATTAAAATCACTTATTAACATAAGATTATACAGTGAAAGCTTGCACCAGGACTTAATCTGACTGCAGTCTCCTTTTTCCTGGCAGTGATGTGGTCCCAGCCTGGGAGCAAAGGGTGCAGTCCAGCTGCTCTGCCTGCTGCATGCCAACTTCCCAAATGCACCATTTCTCTGGGTTTGTTACTAGTAAAACTGAGAAAACATGTTTGCCTCACAGCTTGTCTGTAGCATTCTCAATTTTTCTCCACATTAGAGAATCCTCATTATGGCACAGCTTGGTTTAGACACTGAGTGTTGTGCTGATCTCAAATGAAATGCTCCCTGCCCTGGCTTCCACATCCTTCTGATATTTAAGTTTCTTTGAAGTATGGAGAGTTTTAGAATCATGGAATCATGGATTGGTGTGGGTTGGAAGGGACCTTAAAGCTCATCCCATTCCACCCCTGCCATGGCAGGGACACCTCCCACTGTCCCAGGTTGCTCCAAGCCCTGTCCTTGGACACTTCCAGGGATCCAGGGGCAGCCACAGCTGCTCTGGGCACCCTGTTCCATTTAGCCTTTATCCTTGTTCTGTCAGCTTGTGGGTTTCAAATAAATGGATTGATACAAACATTTCTCTGCTGAGATCAGTCACTGCACACCTGAAGCCAGAGGCCCCACGATTCCAGGATCAGCACCTGCCTTACCTGTGCCATTCCTCCTGCAGCTCAGTGCCAGCTGTCACCCGGAGCAGGTGACACTTCTGGAGTACCATCAGCTCCAAGAAGCACCTGAGCTATCACGTTCATTTTCTTAACAGCAAAATAGTCTTGCTTTTAACCTAACAGCTCAGACAAAAAGTAGTAAAACCCAGTTTCTGCCACATTCCCTGTGTCTGCCTGAAACAAAGAAGTCTTTATTCAGGAAGTCAGATACATCCTGATGATTGTGCTTCTTCCCAGCTTCTGATACAGAATGCACAAAAGCAAGGAAATAAAATTGAAACTAAACATGCCCCCATGGCAAGCAGAATGGCGCTGGATCCTGGATGCACTGTGTGATTTGCATTGGAAGGGACCTTAAAGCTCATCTCATTCCAACCTCCTGCCCTTGCAGGGACACCTTCCACTATCCCAGGGTGCTCCAAGCCCTGTCCAACCTGGCCTTGGGCACTGCCAGGGATCCAGGGGCAGCCGGGGGAATAAATCCTTGCTCACACTGACTGCTCCTAAAACCCCATTACAGAAACCTTAAAAGTCTCTGTATAAACCCACAGTTGTACCATCCTCGTATCAATCTGATTGCACTTTTTTTCCTTGGCTAAGACTTTTTTCCTTCACTACAAAGCCCCTGATTTCAAAAGCGTTTGCCTGTGTTTGTTCCTAATTCCTTTGCCCCTATGTTGAGGTTTCTAGATGTGAGAAACAAGACATCCTAAAGGTCACTGTGCAGTTTTCAAAATGCAGCAGGATTTTGGTTTGTTTCTTTTTAGCAGAAATTTAAAACAGAAGGAAATACTGGTCTGCTAGGCTGGGCCAGCACATCTCTGGCCTTTGCAGGCTTGGGGAAGATGGCTGACCAAATTTAGGGGTTGTATGGGCAAGTATAGCAGAAACGTGATTTTGTGATGGAAAGAGTGAGAAGATAAGAAGGAACAGACCTAGTTCTGGCAGTATGTGGATGAGCAGGGCAGCCGGTCCAGCAGAGATGAGCTGTTGCTCAGGACCAGGAGCAGCAATCCCTGCAGGCAGCAAGGATGGAAATGGTCCCTTCCACTGCAGTTTGCTGGGAATTCAGGGACAGATTTGACATCAGCCTTGAGAGAGGGGATTTCCAGTGTTTGCAGCACTGGCTCTGTGACTGTCAGACAGGTCTTGGCTGATCCCTCCTAGGAATGCTCTCAGAGCCTTTTCCGTGGCCATTGGCAGGTCACTGCTTGCAGAAGGAAGAGATGTAGGTGCCAGTTATTTTCAGGAAGGAAGGTATGGCTGCAAGCATGATCCTTCTGGAGTTCAGCCCATCCAGGTTAAGCCCCAGTGTCCCCCAGCTCGAGTTCTGAGCTGGGGGTCTGTATGTTTGATTTTAACTCTGGCATGGAGAGCAGTCCCCCCACACAGGGGTCTGCGAGTTCTCCAGGTTTTTCCATGTGTATAAAGATGGAGGCTGCTCTTGTTTTGATTCTCACCTGATTTAATTACATTTGCTTTTTCTCTTTTTATTTCAGTTGTGATTCCAAAGAGCCCTTTACCTGCCTCCGAAGTAAACTCGGAGAAACCTAGCATGCACAGTAGCACAAAGACTGGTTTGGGGCATCAACAAGGGCAAAGGCGTCGCAAAACAGGGAAGAAGAGTGGTCGAACGACCAAAACACTAATCCACCACCCCATGCCTACACCCTCCAAGTCAGTGGAGCCTTTGAAATTCCCCAGAAAGAGAGGCCCCAAGCCTGGCAGTAAGGTAAAAGCTGATGCTGATGCAGGCGGGTGCTGCAGGTCCTGCCATGGGTTGGTGCATGCGTGTGTTTGTGCACGTCTGGCTCAGCCTCTGGCTGGCTGACTGCAGCAAGTAGGAGAGCAGAGGGGTGTGTGGGCTGGGAGTGTCCTCAGAGCCCAGCCCCAGAGCTGTAGAGATTGTCTGTGTCCTGAAGATCATTTCCATCAAGAATCCGTGGCTTTGGAAGTGCGTTGGCTGTGGAGTAGCATGGCAGATGCTGGGAGCATGACAGGATGGCCAGAGGGTAGAGTAAGCTCTCCTGTCCTTTGTGTGTGGCTAGTCTGAGTCAGACAGAGGTGGCAGATCCCAGGCTTGTGGTTTGTAAAATACACACATGTTGATTGCTAGGTTCTTGAGACACCCCGTCATCACCATCAGAAATGTGTCATGTTCCACAGTGCCTTGTCTGTTGGATGCAGAGGAGAGAGTGTAGTGATCATGGGTGGTAAAGGAGAGCAGGGGTAAAAGGAGAAATATCTCCTCTTTTTCTGCAGAGGAAACCTAGGACATTGCTGAACCCAGCACCCACCTCTCCAACAACCAGTACCCCAGAGCCAGACACAAGCACTGTGCCCCAGGACGCTGCTACAATCCCCAGCTCTGCCATGCAGGCTCCCACAGGTAAGGAGGGTCTTGGACCACGTTCTTGACAGGATTGCACAGTTAGGAGCTGCAGCAGGCAGGCAGCAACTCCCTGAGAGTCCCATTTCTGCCTAAGGCTGTAACCCAGCAATCCTTACCACTCCAGAAAGGCTGGCCTGAGGGAGGCCAGAGCAGCTGTTCATTTATCTTTCTATTGGAAATAATGAAGTAGGAAGGTTGCAAGCCCAGCTGTTGAGTGCAAGGACCCTTTCCCCTGCATGCTGGTGACTCCACAGCTCTCCAGGTACATTTGTGGTCCATTGTGCCCTGGGGCAGTCTGGTGTGCAGCACCCCTTGTGAGTCGCACACCATGCAAGGCACAGCTGCTGGAACTGCACAAGGGGCAGAGGAGGTGCTGAAGGTCTGTGATCTGCCCAGCTCCAGCCAGGATATCAAGGCACACAGGGACAGGAGGGAATAGGGGAGGAGAAGGAGCAGCAGTGAAGAGTATGCAGTGCTACAGGGTGAATCTGGTCAGGAAAGTCTAATGCGAAGCTGCATTTGACATGTTGAGTCAAGCACTGGATGTGGGCTGAGCCCTCTGTCTCCCCAGAATGTAATTGGCCATTTTTCAGAGGAACCTAAAGAAGCCAGTTTCCCTAAAAAGGAAACACTGTGGGAACCTCTAGAAAGTGAGGGCTGCATTCCTTCTTCCCCTCTGAACATCACAGCCACCTTACCTGGCTGGCATGGAAAGCACTTTACAGCCTGACTGCAGGGCAGAACATGGGAGAAACAGCAGCAGTTTGGAAGGTGAGCTTGAGGCAGGAAGATTTTGGAGGGGATTCCTTCCTCTCTAGAAGCGGCTGCACTGTGAGGATGCAGTCAGGCAGTCGTGGTGGATTCCATTTGTCAGTGATTGCACAGTCTTAATATCTCAGCATCTCTCAGGTTGGATTTTAGGCATCTGTTTCTTGCTTTCTTGAGTGGGTTAACAGCAAACACATTTCTCATCTTGGCAGTTTGCATTTACTTGAACAAGAACGGCAGCACTGGGCCCCACCTAGACAAGAAGAAAATTCAGCAGCTGCCAGACCATTTTGGACCAGCTCGAGCTTCTGTTGTCCTGCAGCAAGCAGTACAGGCCTGCATTGATTGTGCTTATCATCAGAAAACAGTCTTCTCCTTCTTAAAACAAGGCCACGGGGGAGAGGTGATCTCAGGTGAGAACGGGCCCGCAGCACTTGGCCTCCTCCAGAGAGGTTGTTGCAAGAATTCTCTCGTTGGAAGATGTCTGTCCTGAAGCTCGCTGCAGCCACAGGCCAGGGGCAGACACAAGAGTTCTGTCTTCTCTTTCTTGCCACTCGTGCGTGTCAGTGAAGCAACAGCTGGCGGCTGACTCAGAGCGGAGCAGTTCCCATGGCCCGCGGGCACGGCTCAGTGCTGGCACCAGCCTGGGCAGCAATCCCAGAGCCACACCAGGGGGGATTGCACAGCTCCTCACGGAAAGACAAGAAATACCCCGGGTTTAATTTCTCCTTTAAGCCCGTGCCTAGCTGGATCTGCCCCTCCTGGAATCTTTTCCGTTCGCTCGGACGCGGCTGCCCCGGCCCCGCGCTGGGTGCAGCAGGCTGGTCCCGGCCTGCCCTGGCAGAGGAAGGCTTTGTTGGCTCTGAGAGCCCAAAGATGCTGAGATCCAGGAGCTGCCTGCGCGGCCCTGGGCGTAGCCTCCCGCCCTGGCGGGGGGTTCACGTGTTGGGCTCTGTTTGTTTCTGTCTCCAGCTGTGTTTGATCGGGAACAGCACACTCTGAACCTGCCAGCAGTTAACAGTATCACCTACGTCCTCCGCTTCCTGGAGAAGCTGTGCCACAATCTGCGCAGTGACAACCTCTTTGGGAACCAGCCTTTCACTCAGCACAGCCACATGCAGCGCTCTCACCAGTACGACCACGACAGGTATCTACCAGGTAGGAGCTGGGGGGGTGGCACTGTAGGGACTCAGGTTTGATCTCTATCTGAGAAAGCAGGCTCCTGTTCCAGAGCCCTCTCCCAGGGTTCATTGCATCACACCCAGTGTCGTGTACACACTCTTGTTGTGTAGGGTTCCAGTTGCATTTTCTGCCTGTCAGTTTGGTTTCCATCTCAGCTGGAGGTTTCCGCTCATCCGTGCTGTCTCGTCTTCCCTCCTCCCCTCGTCCCCCAGTCCTTCCCACTTCCTGTGGTCTGATTGTGGTGACTTCATCCAGCCAGGAATTCAGGTGGAAGATTGCAAGAGAAGGGACAGTGATAACATGCAGTAGATAAACTGCAATTAGAAATGAATTAAAGCAGAGTTGTTTCCACGCTGGTCGTGGATCTGCTGGCATCAGCCAGGGCATCCAGCCCTGGTAACAACATGGGATTCCTGTTCAGGGGTGATGCTCATGCTCAATCCGAGGCAGAGGTGGTTTTGTTTTCCTTGGCATAGCCCTGGTAACAACGTGGGGTTCCTGTTCAGGTGTGATGCTCATGCTCAATATGAGCCAGAGGTGGTTTTGTTTTCCTTGGCATGGCATTGAAGCAGCTCCAGCTCACCCCAGCAAGACAGCTCATGCCACGGTGCAGATTGTCAGGCTGCAAAACTGCTCTGAAGTAGAAGCAGTGGAAAACAGGCCCAGCAGTTCCCCCACAGTGCTGGGCAGTGGCAGCGGGCCTGGGGTGATGGCTGCCCACAGGCTGTCTGGGGGTTCTGGGGAGCTCCTGCTCCAGGAATGTCAGTTGTGGAGAGGATCAAAGCTGTCTGCACCCTCTTTGGTGGCTGACCAAAGTGCTGATCTCCTCTCCTGTCTTGCTTTCTTCCCCCTCTAGTCAGCAAGTAGCTGTTGCGTTGTTTGAGGTCTTTCCAAAGTTAATCCTTTGCATAATTATGGTTCTGGCAAGAAAAGCAAAAGTTGTATGAATGTAAAAGGATGGGCACTTTGAAGAACTGTTTAAGGAGAAGTTGCTAAGCATGAGGTGAAGGAGCCACAGCCAAAGGCCACAGTGCTTTTCAGTGCACCTCACAAAGATTTATTGCACCTCACAAAGCACCTGAGGCAGAGTCTGGAGAGCAGAAGGATCTTCCCATCCTCTGCTTCCTCTTGGCTGGAGCCAGCAGGGCCAGGAGCAGAGGAGGTGTGGGATATGCAGGGACAGGAGCAGCATGACTGGTTACTGGGACTGGAGGCTTTCCCCTGAGGAGCCCTCAATAGAAGAAATCCCCATGTTTCAGTGTGGAGGTGCCCTCTCATCATGAGAGAGAGCATGAGGGAGGGAAAGCACTCAGCTGTGGGCATGGATCAGCTCACACACAGAGCTTCCAGCCTCCATGAGAGATCAATGCCAAGGGCTGGGCTGCTGGGCAGAGTGGAAAAATAGAAATCAGAATTCAGGGGAACTCAGGCAGAGCACCAGATCTGCCACAATGTTGTGATCTACCCATCCTGAACTCTGTTTCAGAGTGTTTGCAGCATTTAAAGAAAAATCCACCACAGTCAGAGGTGTGGCAGCACCAAGTCCTACAGTTCATCCTGATCTCTGAGCTTTCTGGGCATCTGCTCATGTACCACCTTTCTCAGGCACCTGAAAGAAGGTGATAATCTAATTTATAGTGCTCCTGGTAAGGGCAGGGAAACAGTGCTGGTGATTTTGGGAGGTTTGAGCTGGTCATGGAGGAACGAGGGTGGAGTTGCACATCCTTCAGTCACACCAGGTGTCAAGGCTGCTGTGGTCTCACACTGAGCTGTGCATGTCCTGCCTTGTTCCCTCTGCAGGACAGGAATGTGTTGTGTGGGGCTGGTTCTCCCAGTGAACAGCCACTGGTTGGGACTGGGAGCTGCTCTGAGTTCCCAGAGCAAAGTGGCTCTGCAGGAGCACCCTGGGCGTGCCATGGAGAGTTGGGGTGTGTGCTTGGGGCACAGGGAAGGTCTGCAGTGCCCCTGAGCTCAGCAGCGTGCTGCCATTCTGACTGAGTAAATGGAAATAAGGAGGAGCAGGCTGGGTTGTGCATCAGGAGCAGCCCTGATTGCTGTTCACAGCTCCATGAACATGATGGGACCTGGAGCTGTCTGAAAGCACAGGACTGGAGGGACCCTCTGGGCCACAGAGCCCTGGCTCCTGCTGCTGCAGCAACACACACATGGAGTTTCTTGGGTTTACTCTGGAGTTTGGATTTTGCTTTTCCACTGGAGACTGCTCCAGGGTTTTATGCTGATAATTTAAAAACTATGTTGTAATTTCCAGCCCTAATTTATTCTTGGGCAGCTTGGTGTCTGTGTCTCCTGGTCTTAATATTGTCTTTTAGCTTAACTTGGTTCTCTTTCTTCTGGAGGTAGTTGCAGAGCAGTTGTAGCCCTCAGAGGAGTTCATATTTTCACTGCTTTTTGCTCTCCTCAGACAGTGTTGGTTTGTAACCTTCATGGGGTGTCCAGAGTGCCACCCAGCACTCTGGGGAGGAGCTCATGGGGACCTGGTGCCACAGCACTGGCACCACCATGGTGACAGGAGATGTCTCTGCAGTCACCTTGAGCCTCTGTGTCCTTGTACCAGGTGGTGATCAGCCTGTCCTGGTCACATCAACTGTTCCTGTCATCACTGGTGTCACCTGCAGCTCACATGGGACAGTGCTGCAAGTGCACAACGTATTTAGCTGCTGGAGTTTCCTTCTTGCTGGTTCTTGGTTATATCTCTCTCTCTCTCTCTCTATATATATATATATGTATGTATATCCTTCCTGCCTGATTTTAAATGCTGCTTTGTCTCACCTGACATGGGAAGGCATCAGCAGATTTCATTGGTAAATCTCTTAAATTTCTGCCAGGGTAATTACAGTTATTAAATGAGCCTGGGCTCAGGGGTGATCCTCAGGCAGATTCACTGCCAGTCTCATGTTCCTTCTCAGTGTGCTGCCAGCAGCTTTTCCTCTCAAATCAGATTTCTGTGTATAGAACAAGGCTCCTGGTAATTCATGTTCTGTCTCAGCTGGCTCTGTGTGTAGCATCTTGCTGAATTCCAGGTGTGTGAGGTTGATGTCTCTTCCCTCATGTGATAGATGAGGATTTCCCATCACAGGGAGGATGTTGGGTTGTCCTCTTCTGATGAACACCTGCCATAAAATGTGCCCTGTGTGTTTCCTGTCCTTTCCTTCAGAGCCTGCCACAAACCTTGTGGTGCTGCTGAGGCCAGACATAAGCATTTTATTGTAAAAACCATTTTTTCCACCTATTTTTTTCAAATATTAGCACCACATTTCAAATGACTCTCAGTAATTCAGTGCTGAGTTCTGATAGAATTTACTGCAGCAGACCCAGAGTTTCAGGTGCACTGGCATTCTTGGCTTCCTCTGCATCCTTAAGTCTCCAATTTGAGGGCATTCAGTTGTCTGACTTAGTGGTGGATATTTTGGTTCCTGTCCTGTTTCTTTTATCCTTAGATCCTTGCCCCAGTGCTCAGCATGGCTGCAGCTGGAAATGAATCCCAGAATGGTTTGGGTTGGAAGAAACCTTAAAACTCAATCTCATTCCACTCCCTCCCATGGCAGGGACACCTTCCACTGTCCCAGGCTGCTCCAGACCCCATCCAGCCTGGCCATGGGCACTGCCAGGGATCCAGGGGCAGCCACAGCTGCTCTGGGCACCCTGTGCCAGGGCCTGCCCACCCTCAGGGAAGAATTTTTTTCCACAAATCCAGTCTAAATCTACAATCTTTCAGCATACTTGGTATCTGTGTATCCTGGTCTTAATATTGTCTTTTAGCTTGATTTGGTTCTCTTTCTTCTGGAAGTAGTTGCAGAGCAGTTGTAGCCCTCAGAGGAGTTCATGTTTTCACTGCTTTTTGCTCTCCTCAAACAGTGTTGGTTTGACTTAAACTTGTGACACACTGAGTGCAGGGGGATGTCACAGATCTACACCTGAGCCAGGTGTGAGTGTGCTCTCAGCCAGGGAGGGGTCAGTGCACTCAGAGAAAGGTGCATTGTCCTAAATGAGAAGCCCTAATTAGGAGTGGGCTGACAAGATGAGGTGAGTGTCACTGCTCATTAAGGTGTCCATGCTGATGGCCCTGGGGTGGCCACAGCACCATCCAGCTGAGCTGCTCTTCCCCCCAAGGCAGGGGAGGTGGAATATCCCTCCCAGCTGTGCTGTCATTTGGACACAGCCCTTTTCACCTTTCTGCACCGTGTCCCCTCACTCTGTTGCTCTGGAGCTGAAACACAAACCCATCTTTGCCTTTGCTCTGTCTGCAAACACAGAATGAGTTGAAAACCTCCCTTCATCCTGCACTCCCCATCCTGAGGTGCACAGTCTGCTTTTATCCAAGGAAATGTTCTGCTTGTTCTCAGCATCCTTCTCAAAGTGAGCATTTATCCACTGAGATTTGGGGTCCTTCCCTCTCAGATTATTTCCTCTTTGATGATCACATTCATGAGGTTTATGTCATTTTTGGACTGAAGACATTTTGCTTTTATTCCTGATAATCTGAGTACAGCTCTGTTACTCCATTTCTTTATTTTCTTAAAACTTGTCCTTTAAAACCAAAATTCTGGTTTTGGTTTATCCTCTCATTAATTCACACCATCCTCACTTCTGATTCCTAGGATTAACTTCTATAACCTGACCTGTTGTGTTTGCAGTATTTTAACATCAACCACTTCAAAAAACAAGCTGAAATGCCAAAACCTGATGGAAAAACCTTTGTAAAGCATCACCTTGTGTTGTGGTTCTGTGGCTGTTGGGTGAAGAAGGTTGTGCAGTTTGACACAGAGACATTACCAAGAGCATGTGTTCCCCCTCTGGGCAGTGAGTATTTCTTACAGGGACTGGTTCTGAGGATGGAATTTGTTTTTCTGGCAATGTCACAGTGATTTTTTGATGATATGGAATCCCAGGGCCTCAGTGCAAGCAGATTTTCATTTCCCTGAAGGACATTGATTGAACAGGAACCTTCTCTACCTTTGTGTTTCTCCTTAATCACCTCAGTCGTGCCCATCTGGTGCTCCCCCCACCTTTGTTGGGCATTGTGCATCTCCCTGGTGTCACTCCCTGCTGTCCCTGTCACCCCTGCTGCCCTGTGCCAGCTCTCAGGGCTGCTGGTGGCTCCTGGCATTTGTGCAGAGCATTTCACCCTCTGTGCCCACCCCAGAGCTCTCAGGGTGGCTGGAGAGCCCAGCTGGCACCTGCTGGGCAGTGTGGGGCAGCAGGAGGGGTCATCTGAGCTGGGACAGGCTCTGTGTCACTCACCTGGCTGCTGTCCCCATCAGTGTCAGTGCTTCCATGCCTTGTCCATCCAACACTGATGCTGTGTGTGCAGAGCTGTCCCAGCCCATGGCAGTCCTGTCTGGTGGGCAGGATAGGCACAATCCCATCCTCGGGATCAGTTTGGAGAGGAGCAGCAGTGACAGTGCAGGGACAGTGCCATGGCAGTGTCCTGTCTGCTCTGCTCACAGTCCCATCCTTGGGATGATGAGTTTGGAGAGGAGCAGCAGTGACAGTGCAGGGACAGTGCCATGGCAGTGTCCTGTCTGCTCTGCTCACAGTCCCATCCTTGGCATGATGAGTTTGGAGAGGAGCAGCAGTGACAGTGCAGGGACAGTGCCATGGCAGTGTCCTGTCTGCTCTGCTCACAGTCCCATCCTTGGGATGATGAGTTTGGAGAGGAGCAGCAGTGACAGTGCAGGGACAGTGCCATGGCAGTGTCCTGTCTGCTCTGCTCACAGTCCCATCCTTGGCATGATGAGTTTGGAGAGGAGCAGCAGTGACAGTGCAGGGACAGTGCCATGGCAGTGTCCTGAATGCTCTGCTCACAGTCCCATCCTTGGCATGATGAGTTTGGAGAGGAGCAGCAGTGACAGTGCCTGAGGGCTCCATGGAGGGGGAAGATTGAAAATGGGAGTAGGGTTTAATCCAGCACTGGGTATGGCAGAGAGGTTGCAAATCATCCAAGGTTTGTTTGCCAGCGCAGACAGGACAGTGCCTGGGGGATCTATGGAAGGGAGAGATTGAAAATGGGAGTAAGGTTTAATCCAGCAACACAGAGGAGTTGCAAATCATCCAAGGTTTGTTTGCCAGTTGTCCAAGGGTTGTGTGCATCTGAAAGGTGACAGCGGGATCAGCAGGAATTGTGTGGGATGAGCCGTGAGGAGAAACGGAATTAAGCCAATAATTTCGTTGAAATATGGCAAAACATGGCTAAGATTCTGTGTTAGTTTTGTCACCACCCTTTTTCTCTGGTAAAACCTGCAAACTCTGCTCTGTTGAGCCCTGCCAGATGTGCTGGGCTGCAGCTTGAGCAGGTGGTGGGTGCCCAGGCTGGTGATGCACACAGGGCTCGGGGGACTCTGGCAAGACTGCATTTCCCAGGATGTCTGCACTCCTAAAGAAATCCCAAGTGTGGTGGTGTTCACAGAGACAAGGGAAGAGATGAGAATCTTGGCTCCATGTTTCAGAAGGCTGATTAATTATTTTATGATATGTATTATATTAAAATTATACTAAAAGAATAGAAGAAAGGATTTCATCAGAAGGCTTGCAAGGAAAGATAACAAAAGCTTGTGACTCTCAGAGAGTCTGAGCCAGCTGGACTTTGATTGGCCATTAATTAAAAACAACCACATGAGACCAATCAAAGATCTTCCTGTTGCATTCTACAGCAGCAGATAATCATTGTTTACATTTTATTCCTGAGGCCTCTCAGCTTCTCAGGAGAAAAATCTTAGCAAAAGGATTTTTTATAAAATATCATGGCTACACCCATGTCATCATGAGAGAGAGCAAAACCTGAGAGGGAAAGCACCCAGCTCTGGGCATGGATCAGCTCACACACAGAGTTACCAGCCTCCATGAGAGGTCAGTGCCAAGAGTTGGGCTGCTGGGCAGAGTGGAAAAATAGAAATCAGAATTCAGGGAAATGCAGAGCACCAGATCTGCCACAATGCTGAGACCTGCCCATCCTGAACTCTGATTCGGAGTGTTTGCAGCACTTAAAGATAAACTAACCAGAGTCAGAGGTGTGACTAAAGAGGCCTTGTTCTCTTTTCCTAGACAGAAGCAGTTCCCTAGACGGCTCTCTGCAGGGACCAGGCCGGGGTACAAAGCGCTTTTCCCAAGACCCCCCTCCATACAGTGCTCCTCTGTCCCCCAAGGTACCAAAGAATGACCGTCACCCTTTGGAAGGTGAGCACAGCATGTCTGTTCCCAAAGCTGCTCCAGAGCCTGTCCTGGCTGCTGCAGGCTCACACTGCCCTGGCTGCAGGGAGCTGCTTTGCTCATCCCTGCCGTGGGTTGTGCTTGGTGTTCCACAGGGGAGTGGGTGAGTGTTGGGGCTTGAGCTGCTCACAGTGACCCCAACAAGAGTTTGAAAATCCCTTTTCCCAGCCCGGCACTCGAAGAAGGAGTCAGGGATCTTCAGTTCTCGGTCTCAAGGTTGTTTATTGTTTCTTATCTATAAAAAATTTTCTCCTGCCCTGCCGAGGTCCATCCAGCAGGACAGTTCCAGGCACTCTGCCTGCCCCCAGGGCAGTGTTGTTATCTTTTTATACTAAAAACTACGTGTACAATATTTACAATAACTTCCCAATACCTATCACCTTGGTTAGACACTGAGCTTCTACCCTAAACCAATCCAAAAGTGCCACCACCACAGCAGAAGATGGAGGCCAAGAAGAAGGAGAAAGGCTGGGACATGCCCAGATCCCTCCATCCTCCCCCCTTACCCCCCATACCAAAAACCCCAAAATCTACTTTTCCTCTCCCTGATAACTTTACTATTATTCTACTTAACTGTTGTGGCTTGCTGATCTTCATACATGGTTGGTAATTTCCTCCATGGGTCATAATCAAACCCACAGGTGTTTTGGGCTCTGTGCCAGGGTCTCTGAGACCCCTGGCAGAGTCTGGGCTGCTCAGGACAGCCAGAGGGATGTCCTGGCTCCTGACAGATGAGCTGCTCTGTGGCGAGCCAGGTTCCCCACACTGATTTGTCAGGCATGTGGAATGCAGCAGGAATTCCTCCTAAGCCTGACAGGCATCATCTCACACTGTATAATCTGGTTTAGCTTCCCTCACTGTGCATGGGATTAACAGTGCTCAGACTGCCCAGCTGCCTCAATCTGATTTGTGGATTTTTCCCTCAGGGTTTGCTGCGGCCTGTCGTGCAGATGCTGATGTGCAGGAACTTGCTGCCCTTTCCCAGGATCTCACTGGAACAGCTGTGGGGTGTCACTGGCTCCCCCAGCTCAGCCACACCATTCCCATCCCACACTGCTGCCCCTTCCCAGAGTCCCTTGGATGCCACTGGTGCAGAAGCAGGAATTGCCACTTTCATTCCTTGCTAAGCACAGGGACACTTAAAACCCTTCACAGCTGGGATGCAAATCAGCAGCAGAATTCATCTTCCCAGGAAGAGGCAAAGTTTGCCCAGTTCATTTATCATGAACTCAGTTATTTTAGCTGTGGGATCCATAGGTGACCCTTGCATGCACAGGTGGGAGATTTCTAGAAGATCCAGGCAGCTGGAGGACTGCCTGAACTGAGTAATCCTCAATAAATACCCTCCCGCTTTGTACTGAACTGCAAACCCTTCCTAATGCAGACTGGAGATTTAATCTTACTAAGCCTTTTAATTAATGGATGGTGAAATCTGCCAGTGTTAGTCACAATTCTTTGTGACTGAAATCCCTGAAAAATTGCTGGAGACTCCTGGGCAGGCTCCCAGTTCAGTGGCTTCATGCTCTGTTTCTGTGTCCCTTTAGAATGCCCATTTCCCTGGTTTGGCTGGGTGATTTTTGTCTGTGTCCATCACTGTGTCCTGTGCTCTGCAGGGTCTCTGACCGTGCCTCTAACACTGAACTTGTCCAGAGCAGCTGGGGCTGCTCCAGAATCTCTGGAAGTTTCCAGTGCCAGGTGGACACTGGGGCTTGGAGCAAGCTGGGACAGTGGGAGGTGTCCCTGCCATGGCAGGGGTGGCACTGGATGGGCTTTAAGGTCCTTCCCAACCCAAACCATTCCATGGTTCTCTGGTGGACAGTTTCTAGTGGCCTCCTTATCTGCAATGATTAAAACTGTGCATTTGTCACAGCAGTGCCACACACCACCTCATCTATTGCAGCATCTAGACAGGTCAGAAACTGTCCCCAGTGTCCCCTTCTGTTCCTCACCTCCAAATGGGTGCTGTTCTCCTTGATTCCCCTCTGATGCATCTGCCATTGAATTTGGGTAACTGCTGGCACAGCCCAGCCCCTTCTCCTCCCCCAGCAGGTGGGACAGGCAGTGTTCAGCCTGATCTTGAAGAACTGGATTGCTCCAAAGGTTCAGATGCCTTGGGTGGATGGTGATTGTTGTCCACTCTGTATTGTCAGTGAAGAAAGAAGGCTTTCATAATGGGTAATTCCAAGGAGGAACCTTCATTAGGTTCCTACAAGATTGATTCTTAGTCTGCTTCAGAGTCTGTTCTGTTATCCCTTGGCCTTTGAGTGGGTTGTGCCATCTGGATGCCAGAATGCTCCAGCCTCTTCCAGAAAAACACAGACAAGTGGGCAGGAAGTGTGGCTGCATGTGAGGGGGGATCCTTCCTGCAGCAGCTTGGGCTGGTTCTGTTCCTCATCCAGGCAGGGAGAAATGAGGTGCAAATTCCATCTAGAAATTCATTCTTATCCCACAGCTAAAAGCTGGAATGAATACATCTTCCTCCTCCTCCACCATGAAATTGAGGTTCAGGCAGGAATATTTGCATTTCAGAGGATATATCTTAAGAATATGCACCTGAAATACTGAGATATTGAGTATTTTTGAACAAGGCCACCTGAAATACTGAGATATTGAGTATTTTTGAACAAGGCACATCTTCTCATGGGAATGAACTCTGTCTCACACAGGAGCTCCTGAGCCCATCCCACTTTGCCATGTGGAAGGCTGTGAGCAGCAGTGGGACATCTCCATTCACTCTGCATTTGGCAGGAAGCAGAGACGTGAGGAAGGGATCTCACATATTACATTGTTTTTCCTCTTGCATCCAGTGGAGTTTGTGTGGCTTTTTGCTGAATCCCTGCAGTCCCAGCACAGTGGGGACCTGCCTTCACAGCCCATCACTTGCTGGAAGCAGTGGGTGTTCAGGAGTAGTGCAAATCACATTTGTGCTTGTGGCCAAACTCCCATGCTTTAGCAGTAAAGTGACACTGTTGAGTCTATAGCACTATTTGTTTAATTAAACTCTAATTATCTGCTCCCTGCCTCTCAGCCACTTATTGTGGCATGTTTCCCTACAATGTGCCAACTGCCCGCCTTTAGTTAAATCTAACAGTGTGTGTAAGGAGCTCTGCCTGAGGATCAGCCACCTCCTCCTCCCACTCTGTTATCAAGGGTGAAGGATCCTGGGTGTTGTCTGAGTGCAGTTGTGCAGGAGTGTCTCATCTACAGATGATTCCCAGGGCAGCAATCATTCCTCATGTCCTTCTCCCTTCCCTGGGGGTATCATTCATTCAGCAGTTCCCTGTGTACTTGTATTTTTGTATTTTTAGGAAAACCCTCACTCCCTCTTGCACTGATCCTGCTGCAGAGTTACAGCCCAAGCAGGCACTGCCCTGTGCAGGGTGAGGGAACCTGGGGATCACTGTGTGCCTTCAGTTTTAGCTCCTGGGCAAAAGCACATCGTGCCCCCAAGGTTTCACCTGTGGCCCTCAGTGTGTGATCAGCAGCTGTGAGAGCAGGATCACACATTTGTGTTTGCAGAATGCATCACAGCACATTCCTGTCATGACAGTGCTCATTGTTGAGTGAAATCATTTCTGAGGGTGAGTTCTGGATCCTCAGGAATCTGTGCGTGTGCTCTCCCAAACTGGGCCCTGAAATTCCTTCTGCTGATACCAGTCCCTGCTGACAGCTCTGGGGTTTTTGGGAGCACTCAGACACATCTGGCTGAGTGTCCCAGGACCTCCTGGCCAGCTGCAGCTCTGTGTCACCCCAGAAGGTGCTGGGGTTCCTTGGAGGGCTGAGATGCACAGCTTGGACCTGTTGCCATGCCCACAGCCACTGGGGGCTGTGCCCACTGACCGTCTCCTGCCCTGTCCTTCCCTGGCAGTCAGAACCCTTCCCCAGATGTTTCATGGGAAAAGTTTTGGGGTTTAAACAGAACTCTCCTGTTGAGGAGTGTGAAAAATGCCAATCACTTGTTTTTAAAATTTTAAAAGTTTAATAGTAATTAAATGGTTCTAAGATAGTAATACAATTAGAGTAATAATAATAATTTGGACAATTTGAATTAGGACAATATGAGACAATAGAAACAAAGAGTTATGGACAGTCCAGGTACCAGGCCCGAAAAAGGACACAGTTAACAAAGGATTAACCCTTAAAAACAACAGCCTGTTGCATATTCATACACCTCATACATGATGCATAAATTCCATTCAAACACAGGATTCTGTCTGGTCTGTGTCAGCTTCTTCCTCTGAATCCTAACAGCGCCTTTGAGGTGGGAAGAAGTTCATTTCTTCTGATAAGAGGGCAATAAATTCTTTTTCTCTGAAAGATTCAGGTGTCCTGTGGCTGCTATCTTGCTGTTAGTCCTTTCTTAAGAAAAAAAAAAAAAGTATCTTACATAGCATTGTTTCTATTTTAACATTTTTATAACCTAAAACTATATTTACCACACTACTTAAGAGAATTAATACAGCATTACTGTCTGACACAGCACATGTAATATTCATTTTAATATTTGCAAAAACACAACCATAAAATACATGCATTTTTCACAAGGAGGAGACCAAATGCAGTTTGAAGCAGCTGCAGTGGAAACCCACTGGTGTGACAGCCACCAGTGGCTCTGGCTGGGCAGGGATCTCCACCAGGCCAGGGCAGGCAAGCTCTGCTTTTCGTCCAGTCTGGGGCTGAAATGCAATGGGGAGAGTGCAGGAGGGGTTTGAGGTTATTCAGGAATAGCCAAGAGTCAGCGAACCATTTTTTATGCAGAGCAGAACACAGCTGTCCATGCAGGAGGAGAGTGACAAGGGGGCCAGCACAGCACAGGTCACAGGGCTAACAGTCCACACCAGGTTGTACAGGAGAGTTTAAGGCTGTGCTGCTGTTGCTGGGCACATCCCAGAGGCCCAAAAGCAAACAAAGGCAGCAGTGCCTCAAGTGCAAAGCCCTGGGGTGGGAGCAGCAGTTTCCCAGTGATAGCCCCACCGCAGGCTGGCCAGCAGGCACGCAAGGGTGTTCCCATTTCATGTCCTTACAGTGTGAAGCCCTGGCAGGTCAGGGCTGTGTGATGGTGCTCACAGGACGAGGGAAGAGATGAGGATCTGACTCCATGTTTCAGAAGGCTGATTTATTATTTTATGATATATATTACATTAAAACTATACTAAAAAAATAGAAGAAAAGGTTTCATCAGAAGGCTAGTTAAGAATAGAATAGGAAAGAATGGTAACAAAAGCTTCTGTCTCAGACAGAGAGTCCAAGCCAGCTGACTGTGATTGGCCATTAATTACAAACAACCACATGAGACCAATCACAGATGCACCTGTTGCATTCCACAGCAGCAGATAATCAATGTTTACATTTTGTTCCTGAGGCCTTTCAGCTTCTCAGGAGGAAAAATCCTAAGGAAAGGATTTTCCATAAAAGATGTCTGTGACAGCAGATCTTGCTGCCTCAGCCAGTGCAGCCTGTCACCCTGGACAGCCTCCTCAGCCCCTCCATCCCAGCAGTGCCATGGACAGCTGCAAATTCAGGGCATTTCTGGAGAAGATTAGGAAGTCACCATTGCTCTGGGGAGGATATTAGAGGCCCAGGCCCTCCTGTGCATGTTCCAGTACAGGGAATTGGCCTCTGATGTGGTTAGGCTGGAAAAGAACCCAGGAGGAGCCCAGGATGGATAAGCAGCTCATCACCAGCTTTTGGGGCCAGAGGAGCAGCAGGCTGTGGGAGCATTGCCTGGCCCTGATGGCACAGCTCCCTCCTGCTCTGCTTGTGACTGCCACCCAATGCCCATTAGCAGGGCCGTGCCCTTGGCGAGGTGCAGTGTGTGACCCCTCAGGGAGCATCCCCTCCCCTTCTGTTCAGGCCTGGCTGTGAGTCCTGTGTCCATTGGTGTCCTGCTTTAGGGCAAATCTGGGAGAAAACCTCCAAAAGGGCCCCTCCAGAAAGCAAACCCACACAAGCCCTCCCCCATTTGGTTCAGGAAGGATTCCTTGGAGAGAAGTGGAAAGAACCTGTTTATTTAACAGGCACAGCACCCCCCAGCACACAGAATGAACAATACCAGGTGACACCACTCTGTCACCGCTCTGACAAATGACAAATTCAGAAAGTCTCTCTGGGGGTGGTCGCTCTGTTCTCAGTCCCTCCTGTGCTGGGGCAGCTGCTGCCCAGAGTAGGCCCCACTAGGCCCAAGGTGCAAACTCTCAGTGTTCCCAGGGCCCAGCCCGGAGCAGGTTCAGGTTGGTCCAAAAAAGGGAAAGGAGAAACAGCCCAGGGAAAATTTGGACTGCTTAGCTAAACTAACTGATGAGCAGGAGCAAAAAGCAAGAGCAAAGCAGGAGCAAAGCAGAAGCAACAGCAAAGCGAAAAGCAAAGCAAAAAGCAAAAGCAGCACCATGCACTGCCCTGTGTGTGTGTCCCGCCAGCCATGGGGGAGCGGCTGAGAGCAAAACCAAAACAAAACATTCGCTCTGTAGAGCCAGTCTGGAAGGCACAGAACAGATATCCAGCATGAACAGAACACAGGAATGGGGATACAGCACCACAACCTCACCCTAGGACAATTGACATCCAGAGGGGACAGCCCTGCCCATCCCAGGGATGTCCCTGCTGGGGTGTCCAGAGGGGCCCAGGGCAGTCAGGCTGGTGGTGGCATGGGCAGAGTAGCTGAAAAAGGAGCTGCTGCTCCAGTCTGGGACCATTGTCATGACACTAGCTAGACTGGCACTGGCAGGTGGTGACACCGTTGGCAGCTGGTGAATGCCAGGGCTGTGGCAGGGCCTGGTTTGATCCCTGTGCTGGGGTGAGCCCAGCAGAGGAGCGTGGCCGTGGCGTTCAGGTGCACTAACTGCAGCTTGGTGCATTCCAGGTGAAACCTTTGTCCTGGGAGATGGCCTCCCAGGGCCCTTAGAGCCTCGCCTGGACCCCATGGACTCTGCCTTGAACTCTGTCAGTTCATCCAGCCACAGCAGGAGCTCCAGAGACTTTCGCCTGCCGGGATACAGGCACCTGCAGCAGCCCTGCAGCCTCAGCCAGGGCAGCAGCTCTGCCCTGCGCAGGCTGAGCTCTGGGGGTAAGAGCTCACGCAGCCCTGAGCTGTGCATGGGGCAGTGGAGGGCTGGGCTGACTCCAGTCTCACCTCTCTGACTGCAGCCAGTACCACAGGCTGGGCTCTGTTAGGTGTGATGGCACCTGGCAGTGTGGACAGGTGACATTTCTGCTTTGGCAGTGGAGAGAAAGGAACAGGCAGGAGCTGAACTGTGTCCAAGTGGTAAATGGGTGTCTGAGTGCACAAGGATGGATTGAGAATGGCTGGGGAGTCAAAGTTGCCTGGTGGGGCTGGGAGGATGGGCACATGCATGAGTGGCACCTCTCTGTGTGGGGGAGGAGGGGCAGGAGAACTGAACTGCTCACTACAGCATGTGGGGTTGCAAATAATGTCATTTTAGGTGCATGGCATCAGTAAAAGCCTCTGAAAAGCTCAGGCTGCTGCTGTGCCTCCCACAGATTCTCAGGCAGAGCAAAGACAAGGGGCTGTGCACACTGGGAGCAGCACTTGTGCCAGCTCAGGCTGGGAGGTCTCCTGTGGATTCAGGTCATCAGAAGATGCAGCCAGTGAAAACATAAACCAGCTTTGTTGTGTTAAATGTGCTAAAGGTGTTGGGAGGGCAGGAGGAAGCGTGCATGGGGAGAGACCTGGCAATGGCAGGGGATGTTCTGCTGAGCTGGGAAGTGTCTGGCCTTGGACAGGGAGGAGTGGGAGCTGGGGCCAAACAAGGGGCTCGAGAGAGGGGACCAGGGCTCAGTGTAGAAGGCTGCCCTGAAAAGTGTGGCTTAAGGAGAGGGAGTAAGGTTTGGGTGCCAGACCTGCACCACAGGAATCTGGGGCATCCCTTGCTGTGTCTCTGCCGTGCTGTGGAGAGGAGCTGAGTGGGGGGCTGAGGGGCTGAGGGCAGTGGCTGGGGCGGTGCCAGGGAGCCCCAGTGACAGAGCTGTGCCTTCCCCAGGCTCGGACAGGTACCCGGGCTCCAGGGACAGCTCCAGGGACAGCTCCCGGCTCAGCAGCCGCGACCCCTCGGCCTGGACGGTGGAGGAGGTGATGCAGTTCATCCGCGAGGCCGACCCGCAGCTGGGCCCCCACGCCGACCTCTTCCGAAAACACGTGAGTGGGCAGAGCTGGGGGTGTGTGTTTGGGGTTCGTGTACAGAGCTGGGGGTGTTTGGGGTTCATGTGCAGAGTTCTGGATGTTTGGGGTTCATGTGCAGAGCTCTGGGTGTTTGGGGTTCGTGTACAGAGCTGGGGGTGTTTGGGGTTCATGTGCAGAGTTCTGGATGTTTGGGGTTCATGTGCAGAGCTCTGGGTGTTTGGGGTTCATGTGCAGAGCTCTGGGTGTGTTTGGGGTTCATGTGCAGAGCTCTGGGTGTTTGGGGTTTGTGTACAGAGCTGGGGGTGTTTGGGGTTCACGTACAGAGCTCTGGGTGTGTTGGGTTTGTGTACAGAGCTGCGGGTGTTTGGGGTTCATGTGCAGAGTTCTGGATGTTTGGGGTTCATGTGCAGAGCTCTGGGTGTGTTTGGGGTTTGTGTACAGAGCTGGGGGTGTTTGGGGTTCATGTGCAGAGTTCTGGATGTTTGGGGTTCATGTGCAGAGCTCTGGGTGTGTTTGGGGTTTGTGTACAGAGCTGGGGGTGTTTGGGGTTCATGTGCAGAGCTCTGGGTGTGTTTGGGGTTTGTGTACAGAGCTCTGGGTGTGTTTGGGGTTCATGTGCAGAGCTTTGGGTGTGTTTGGGGTTCATGTACAGAGCTTTGGGTGTGTTTGGGGTTCATGTGCAGAGCTGGGGATGTTTGGGGTTTGTGTACAGAGCTGGGAGTGTTTGGGGTTTGTGTACAGAGCTCTGTGTGTGTTTGGGGTTTGTGTACAGAGTTGTGTGTGTTTGGGGTTCATGTGCAGAGTTCTGGATGTTTGGGGTTCATGTGCAGAGCTGGGGGTGTTTGGGGTTCATGTGCAGAGCTCTGTGTGTCTGGGGTCTCCTTACTGGGCATACTGGGATGTCCATATTGGGGTGTCCATACTGGAGTGTCCAAGCTGGGATGTCAATACTAGGGTGTCCACACTGGAGTCTCCATACAGAGGTCTCCATACTGGGATGTCCCTACTGGGACGTCCCGGCTGGGATGTCCATACTGGGGTGCCCTTACTGGGATCTCCATACTGGGATGTCCCTACCAGGATGTCCCTGCTGGGGTGTCCAAGCTGGGATGTCCATACTGAGGATGTCCCTACTGGTGTGTCCATACTGGGATGCTGCTGAGCTCTCTCACCCCGCCCTGCTGTTGCATTTTGGGCCTGGCTCAGGCAGGGCTGTGGCTCCCAGGTGCCATCAGGAGCTCTGTGGTCGATCCTTGCAGGAGATCGACGGGAAGGCCCTGCTGCTGCTGCGCAGTGACATGATGATGAAATACATGGGGCTGAAGCTGGGGCCGGCCCTGAAGCTCACCTACCACATCGACAAGCTAAAGCAAGGCAAGTTCTGAGAGGACTCCTGGCAGGATGGACCCTGGAAGCTCCGCTCCCGGCCGCCCCACCCGCGCTCACCTGCCACAGGTTCGCATGCACACACCCCTTCCGCCGCAGCAGACAGACGGACAGACGGACAGACGGACACTCCCGACGCCAGCCGGGCCCCCAACAGCGCTCAGGAGGAGCCTGGCACAGCTGGGCTCTGCACCAGACTGAGCTGTGGGTGTTGGCACAGCCGGGCTCTGCACCAGGCTCAGGCTGTGGGCACTGGCACAGCTGGGCTCTGCACCAGACTGAGCTGTGGGTGTTGGCACAGCCGGGCTCTGCACCAGGCTCAGGCTGTGGGCACTGGCACAGCCGGGCTCTGCACCAGGCTCAGGCTGTGGGCACTGGCACAGCTGGGCTCTGCACCAGGCTGAGCTGTGGGTGTTGGCACAGCCGGGCTCTGCGCCAGGCTGAGCTGTGGGCACTGGCACAGCCGGGCTCTGCACCAGGCTGAGCTGTGGGTGTTGGCACAGCCGGGCTCTGCACCAGGCTCAGGCTGTGGGTGTTGGCACAGCCGGGCTCTGCGCCAGGCTGAGCTGTGGGCACTGGCACAGCCGGGCTCTGCACCAGGCTGAGCTGTGGGTGTTGGCACAGCCGGGCTCTGTGCCAGGCTGAGCTGTGGGCACTGGCACAGCCGGGCTCTGCACCAGGCTGAGCTGTGGGTGTTGGCACAGCCGGGCTCTGCACCAGGCTCAGGCTGTGGGTGTTGGCACAGCCGGGCTCTGTGCCAGGCTGAGCTGTGGGCACTGGCACAGCCGGGCTCTGCACCAGGCTGAGCTGTGGGCACTGGCACAGCCGGGCTCTGCACCAGGCTCAGGCTGTGGGCACTGGCACAGCCGGGCTCTGCACCAGGCTGAGCTGTGGGCACTGGCACAGCCGGGCTCTGCACCAGGCTGAGCTGTGGGCACTGGCACAGCCGGGCTCTGCACCAGGCTGAGCTGTGGGTGTTGGAAGCCGAGGTCTCTCCCTGCTGCCCAGCCAGCATTTCTCCATGAGCTCCCAGTCCTGCTTCCCTGGATGGAGCAGCTCCAGCAGGGCCCCCAGGACCCGGGGTTTGCCTCAGCCCCTCCCTGTGCCCGCTGGGGCAGCCCCTGGGCACTGAGCCTGCCCCCAGCCTGCCCCCAGCCCTGTGCCACCACAGAGAGCTCAGAGCCTTGCCCAGCCCTCTCTCCAGGCTGGGGGAGCCCATCCACCCAGCTCTGCCTGCCCCCAGCTCCTGAGCTGGCTCCACTGGGCACACTGGGCTGGGGATGCAGGCCTTTGTATTTATTCCAGACTGGGGAGGCCGTGTGGGAGCATGGAGAGAGCTGGGAGAGCTGAGCAGGGCTGGGCCTGGCGTGCCCCTGGCACAGATGGGCCTGGGCTGGTGTTGGAGGCTGCCTGGATGCTGCAGGACTCAGCTGATCCTTCTCTCCTTTTTTTAATTTTTTTTTTAATTTGGAATTTTTTTTTTCTACTAAGGAGTTGTTTGTTTCAAACGATGAGATAATTTTTGTACCTGTGTTGAACTCGCAGCTCTTGGTGGTTTTTAGCCAGAGCTGCTAAGGTTTGTCTTCCCAGGGGCACTGCTGCTCCTCTATAGAGTTTTGGTCTGTCCCAGCTCAGCGTGTGTGAGGGTTTTGGGTCTGGCCAGAGCATCCCAGGATGGTGACCTGTCCTGGCATCTCTCAGAAGAGGGCTTTGTGAGGGCTGTGAGGGCTTTGCCCTTCCCGAGGCACCTATTGGTCTCAGGCAGTTTAATGTATTTATTTTTGATGGCACTTGAGTGCTTCCCATGGTCCCAGACAGGTTTCTGCAGCTGCACGAGGAGTGTCAGAGTGGAGCCACCGCAGCGTCCCCTGGACAGCAGCTGCCCAGACCCTGGAGCATCCCTGGCACCAGCCTGGCAGGACAGGGCTGATGGTGCCAGGGCACACAGCTCAGCACGCTCCCTCTGCAGTGACCCAAGGGCTGGGACGGAATCTCCACTCCAAGCACTTCCCTCTCCTGTCCCCAGCCTCTGCATGGGAGCCACAGCTCACACCTCCCCTGCAGCCTCCAGGGCCTGGCCAGCAGCAGGACAGGCCCCTGTGGTGGTGACCAACCCTCCAGGCTCTTGCACTGAGTCAGGTTTACCCCTAAGGGGCAAAGTTGCAAAAAAAAAAAAATAAAAAATCCCCCAAACCCCAAAGTAATAAAAAGGCAAAATGGCTTTTGTCCTGTAGCGCAGCCTGCGCTGCTCGCGGGGCCCTCGGTGTGTCCCTGCCCCGGGGCAGCCTGTGCTTTCCTCTGCACTTATTTTACCTTGATTTGTTTATAAATAAAAGGATACCAGGTTCCTCCCCGTGGTTTGTGCACTGATGGCAGCACCGGGCTGAGCCCCGGGACTGATCCCGATCCCAGGATTGAACCCAGGGACTGAACCCAGGGACTGAGCCCCAGGGAATGAACCCCAGGGACTGAACCCAGGGAATGAACCCAGGGACTGAACCCAGGGAATGAACCCCAGGGAATGAACCCAGGACTGAACCCAGGACTGAGCCCAGGGAATGAACCCAGGGACTGAACCCAGGGAATGAACCCCAGGGAATGAACCCCGGGAATGAACCCCGGCTTGCCCAGGAAGGGAGGGAGAGTGGGGCCAGGGTGGGGCTGGGAGTGATTGTGAGGCCAGGGAAGCACATCCTGTCCTCCCTGAACCACAGGTCTTGTCCCAGTCTTGTTCCTGAACTTGTTCCTGACCCCAGAGCCAGGGCTGAGTTTGCTCTGGGGACAGCAGAGTGCTGGCAGTGACAGCCCCACATCACCCCATGGATGTTGTGCACAGCCCTGCATGTCCTGCACCAAGCAAGAAACACTCCCAGGTGTGGAGGACAGAGTGGGACAAACCCTCCTGGGGCAGCTCCAAGCCACTGGAAACCTTTTCCTGCCCTGCAGAGCCTGCAGGCTCAGCCCAGGCTCCCCAGGTTTCTCCAGGGCTGGAAGGAAGCTCAGTAACTTCAGACTTTGGAGCTCCACGTCTAAACCCACTGTGAATACAGCTCACAAGTTTTTGCTATCTTATTCAAGACTGGGAAGTTTTTTGCTTCAATCCTTTCCTTCCCTCCCTCCAAGCAGGCAGAACAGAGCAGGCTCAGGGCTCCTCACTCAGTTTGTTACAAATGAGCATTTAATGACCGAGTCAGTTGCACAGTTTTGGCCAAAACAAACATTTCAGGAGAAAAAAAAACCCACAGAGTTGTGCTGCAGCTGAGGGAGGATCTGACCCTGCCCCAGGATGGCCAGGCCAGGGCAGGGCTGGGCAGCAGCAGAGCACTGCAACTGAGAATTCCTGCCCAACAGCTGGAACTGGCACACGAGGAATGCTCCAAGCTCTCCAGGCTCACAGCAGCTTTACAGGGAATATTTAAAACAAATGAGGATTAAAGCAGGGAGGAGATCACTGGGAGGGACAGGACAGGGCTTGGTTTGGTGGCTCAGCCAGGTCTGACCGTGCAGCTGCTGAAGTCTGAGTGTGCAACATCAGACAAGGGAGACACTTTCCTTCCTTTCTTTGTTCCTTTCTCCTCAATCAAGGGCCACACAGGGCAGGGAACCAAGGCAGTTCAGCCCCACACACCACACCCAGGCAGGGCTGGTGATCCCCTCCCTTGGAGGAGAAGGGTTCCTGCTGCAGGAACCCAGGACTTGACTGCAATGAGGACAAAAAGGCAACAAAAAGGCTCCACTTCAAATCCATGAAAAAGCACCAGGAGCTGCTGTGCCCCGGGCCAGGGACACAGCTGAAGGCAGCAGTGGAAGTGGTTCAGTGGCTCACTCTGTGCTCACCTCCCCCTTGATGCAAGGGGTTGGAGTTTCCCAGCCCCAGGAGCACAGGGAGGGCTCACAGGGACCCCTCAGGTCTGGGTTTCCCTGGCAGCTTTGTTCTCCTGCCCTGATCCCAGCTCATCACATCCCTGCAGTGACACCTCAGCCAGAGCTGAGCATGTTCCACACTAACACTGTTCCAGGAGGATCCTCCTGGTTACAAATTCATAGTGGCAATGCATGCACCAAGAGCACCAGTGCCAAAGGTTTGCAAATGCTCCTGAAAAAAAAATGAAAACAAACCAAAAATCATCCCCTGAAAAAAAAGCCAAACAAACCAAAAAGGCTGCATGAAGCTGCCCAGAGCCCTCTCTGCAGCACAGCCCAGCTCAGCCCCCAAAATCTTGTGCCATCCATAATTTCACCAGCAAGTAAAGACTGAGGAGGGAGCAGGAACACTGGAGAAAGCAGCTCCACTGTCAGTGTCCAAGGCACCCTGGTGCCAAGCACTGCCTGCCCTGGGAAGGACTTGTGCCATGGGATTCCCCTCAACACAGCAAACCCCACACCCAGCTTGCCTTGACCTCCAAGCTGCTGCAACTGAAAAAAATGAAGGAACTCTCCCTTTGTGAACTCTCCTCCACAAATAACCAAGATCTATAGAGAAAATAAAGGAAGGACAGGAGAGCTGAGGAAATAAGGGACAGAACAAAAATTATAAATCCATAAGTTAGGAAAGCCCAAAGCTGAGGGTGTTGAAGCTGCTGCTGTAAGAACACCTGGAAAGCCTGATGGAGACTCCTCTGTGCAGCAAGGACACACCTGGGGAGAGAAAAGGAGCAGGAATTACTGACAGGTGTGACATGTGGGCCCTGGCCAGAGCCCTGTGCCCAGCTCAGGGGTGTCTCAGCTCCACAGGCACTGAACTGCTGCCCTGGCCATGGCTCCTTGCACACAGGGCACAGGGAGTGAGCACAGCTCAGCCAGCACTGAACCCTGCCCACAGCCACCACCAAAGCAGCATTTTCACTGTGCTGCAGCCCAGATCTGGGTGACACAAATCCCAGGGGATACTTCAGTGAGACCAAGGCTCAGAGTATCTTTAGGATCAACGTTTACAGGGAGAATTAATCCTTCAGCTGTTGGTGTTGTGGAGCAGCCCAACACCCAGCAGTCACATCTGGTGCCAGTGCTGTGCCCAGGGATGGGGAGCACTGCTGTGACAGAGGGGGCCTGACCCTGCAGGTCACTCTGGAAGGGGAGGAGGGAAGGGCTGGAGCTCCCCAGTGCCCTGGCACTCAGCAGTGGAGCCCACACACCCACAGGGTGTGCAGATGCTGCTCAGCTCCTAAAAACCCCCTCACACACCAGCCAGAGCAGGGCAGGTGTCACATCCATGATACCCACTGCACAGAGGGAGGATGCAAATGCAAACTCTGCCTGTTTTGTTGGTGCAGCCTGAGTGCCAGGTTTTAGTGTCTTCTCCTTCCCAGGACTGTTTACATCCAGTTTTCACAACCCTGTAACACCTGCAGCCCTTACAGAGCAGAGCTTGAGCCCTAAACCTGACAGGATCTGCTGTCCCACAAGATGGACACAATGGATGCTTCCAAGATGTTCTTTTACTATGGTGAGGGACTGAAAAATGCTGAATTTCCTAAACCCAGGAACCCCTGTGCAGCTCTGCCCCCATTTCCAGGAGTGTGTGCACCACTGGTAATTTTATCCAAATCCATCCCCAAATTCCTATAAATTTGTATTTTACTGTGTGTCACTTTGCTAAGGGGACACACATCCCCAGCTGTTCCAGAGAGGCAGCACCCAGCCCTCAGCACAGCTGGAACAGATCTAAACTGTGCCAACACATCTCAACTGTGAGCACCAGCACATCTCATGGTCTCCATTATTTCTACCAAATAACGTGGGAATCAGTTGCCAGGAGCAAAGATTGGCCAAGAATTTTTTTTTTTTTTTCCCCAAAGGAAGAGGCTGAGATAATGAAACATTACCAGGAATCAGTCGTGGTTTGCTGAAGGGAACTTCAGCTCTGTTATCTCCAGGTCAGGAGAGCTGCTGCCACTCCTGTCACTGTAGGTGTCCCTGCAGGAGTAAAGGATTTGGGGTCAGGGAGCACAAGTGCTTTAAATACAGATTAATTAATTAATGTAGGATGCTGCAGTACAGGGAGAACTTCAGCTCCTCTGCTGCAAGGAGCCATTTCAAACTCAAATGTGCAAAAGCAGAGTTAAAATATCCCTCCAGCCTTGGAGGCACCGAAATGAGAGTGCCTCACACATGAAACTCCTCTGGACCACACCTGAGCACTGTGGTGTTGAACCAACACAGGAATCCTGTGGTGCAGCTGCTCTGCAGCTCAGCCCACAAAGCCAACACTTGATTTTTGGCACTGCATTTGCCTGGGTTTGATACAGACACTGCTAATTCTCCTCAGCCTTTGGTCTGGCTTTTGTTTAGTGCCTGTCAGCACTCAGCAAGCCCTCAGTGTGAGGAGGAGAACAGGTCAGTACCAAATGCTTGTTATTTCTTGCACAGTCCTGAGTGCCAAAGGGAATTGCAGGCACTGGGGAACAGCAGCACCATTAAATCCACCCAAAACACCACTTGCTTTGCAAACTGGAACAAAGAAAGCTGAAGTCAGCAGAAAAAAAATAAAATAATAAGAGGCTGCAACCACCAGGGCCTGTTCTTTAAACCAGCAACAGGAACAAGTTTCTCATGGACCAGGGCTTGTTCTTTACACCAGCAAAGGTTTCTCATGGACCAGCCTGTACATGGGACTGTGTGAGGAATGCAAGAAGAAGCCCATGAGGTCTCCAGTCTCAGGTAAAAGAGCAGGCCCAAGCTCAGTTTCCTCAAAGAGCATGACTGACACAGCACAAGGCTGCAAATCTTCCCTCCCTGAAGCCAGGGCCTCTCTGCAGGACAGCTCTGTGGCCCCAAAATCAGCCTCAACACACCAGAGGTGAGCTTTCAAAAGAAGAGTGGAAAGAAGGGGCGGTGCCCCCTTCTCGATACCTTCTTGATACCCAGGGATAACTTGATAACAAGTTATCCCCAGGACTCTGTGCCAAGAGGGTGCTCTGGGTTATCCTGCAGGAAGCAGCACCGTCCTGTGCCAGCTCTGACTGGGGTCTGTGTGAAACCCACCTGGGGGAGAGCCTGCAGCCCTTCTGCAGGTAGTGGGTGAGCCTCCCTGCAGATGCCAGGAGGAGCCCAAAGTATGGAGGTGATGGCTTGATGGGCCTGGAGAGGAACTCGGGGTGATACTGAACACCAACGAAGAAAGGATGGTCTGAAAAGAAACAAAACATTCAGGTCAAGGCTCTCAAGCTTGGGGCTGAGCTGCAGGTGAAATCCTCTTTATGTTGTCCATAAATGGAGAGAGACATGGGATTTTATTTTTACCATCATTTATGGATGGAATCAAGACAGTCTGAATGGTCTCACGTGAAAAGCTGCTCCATTCCCCTCCAAACACTTTCCCTTTGTCCATCCCACACACAAACCAGCTGGTTAAGGACTCACCTTCCAGCTCAACCACTTCCATCCTCTCTCCCTCCTCATCCTGCCCCACAAACTTCAGACCTTGCTCTTCAAAACACTTTTTCAGTTCTGGATTGACCTAGAAAATCAGAAGCAAGACAAGCCATGATCTCTTGTGTCTGGATTACACAGGAAAGCTCAATACCTACATGAGCATTTTTACCTCAAATCTGTGTCTGTGTCTCTCTTCCAAGAAATCATGATCTCCATAGAGCTTCCCTGCAGAAGTAAAATGTTCCTTAGAGCAGTGATCACAGCTTTCAACACATCCATTTGATCAGCACAATTCAGAATCTGCCACTTGTGGAGGGAATTAAATTCCCTGATCCCCATTCCCCACCAGAACAGTGTGTGAACAGCTGCCATTCAGGGATGTTTGAACATCCCCAGGCCTCACTTCCCCAAGGAAACATTTCCAGAAGAGGCAAGAAGGGCCTTACTCATGATTGAATTCTTGGTTTGGAAGAGTGTCCTCCTCTTGCCAAGCCTCATTGTCCCACCCATCTGCCCAGGATTATGTTCTGGCATGTCTATGACCTGTGGAAAGAATTCAGAGGGAGGTGAGAAATCAGGGAGGAATAATAATAACAGGCAGACTCTGACACATAAAAGGAGAAAAAATCCCACCAACATTCATGCAAAAATCCAAGGAAATCAGCCCAAGGAACAGAACAAGGCAGACCAACAGAACTGGGGTAGCTGCCTGAGTTGTTCAGTACCTATGGGAGGTTTGTGGATATTCAGGGAACTTTCACAGAGGAAACTGCCTCAGTCAGAGTTTACACAGATTGCACACACCAATACTGGGCTGTTTATTGAACTGCATGGTAAACAAACAAGCAAATTTATGGGAAAAAAAAATTAAATCAGACTTGCTCACTCTTTGATAAATAACACCATAAGCTGCTTTTTGATGAGTTCCTCACTTTGAGGAAGTCAATCATTGTGGCAGACCCTGGACCAGAAACACAGAGCTTCCACAATTGTCCCCAAGAATTCAGGTCTGTCTGGAGCTATCATACAACAGCTAAGAGTTGGAAGGGACCTTAAATCCCCTCCAGTGCCACCCCTGCCATGGCAGGGACACCTCCCACTGTCCCAGCCCCCATGTCCAGCGTGGCCTTGGACACTCTGAGAGATCCAGGGCAGCCACAGCTCCTCCTGGCCATCATACCCAGGAATGTGCAGGACACTCAGGTAAGGCTATCACAAATAAATCACCATAAACTCACCACTGGATGAGAAGTTTTGGGGTCAAACTCTGTTGAGTTGGCATCTGCAATGCAACATTCAGCAGTCAGGAGCACAGAGTGGCTCAGACCATGGCATCACCTCCAGGAGCTGCTGCTCCTCATCCCCAGAACAGCCCAGGCAGCAGGAACAGGGCTGCCAGCACTGTTCAGTACCAATTTCAAAGGCTGCAGCTGTAGGATAACCCACCCTCATTCAGGAAAAACACAGCTTCAAGTACAGAAATAAAGGCAGGGAGGGGGAAAGGAGCACAATGGTCTGAGGAATTTCTTTTTCCTCACCCTCATTACTGCAGAGAATCAAAGAGATTGAGAACTCAATTTAGCACTCTCTGAAGGGAGTTGTGTTAACAAACCAAGAGGGGCTCAGAAGGTAACTCCACTCACTGAAGGAGCTGCAGCTGCTGGCTGCCTGAATTGCTGTTTGGGCTTCATTGTCACTGGCTGCAGTGGGAATTTGCCATGGTGTTTCATTTTCAGGAGCTAAGAACCTCATGTTGAGCAACAGGAAGTTTTCTGTCATTATCAGCATGACTTACTCCTTTGATTTTTATTTAAATAGGTTAAGGAAATTGCTCTTTTTACTTTGAATCAGCAAAAGAGATAGGGATTTTTACAGGTCTAGGTAAAAAATTAAACTGACCTATGAAAAACTTCAAATCACAGGTATCTAAAAAAGTCTAAAAAGTATCTAAAAAAGTCACAGCAACCCAAGAAATGACCAAAGGCAGGAAGGGTTTTGTGCCATTACCTCTCCAACCAAGGACACTGCGAGCAAACTCCACCACTGCCAGCTGCATTCCCAGACAGACTCCTGTGGAAGGACAGACAGGACATGGATCAGGTCAGGACAGGGACCCTGAGCCCCTGCTGCAAGCACACACACCCTCACAGAGGATCCTGAGCCAGAGGAAAACCTGGATGAGGCAGATCTTTGGGATTTAGGGCTCTGTAGTCCTGACAAGCTTCACTTCCCTCCCTTTCCCACCCCTCTGCTCAAACTCCAGTTTCTCACCACAGACACTTCACTGAAATGCAGCCTTTGTATTTCCTGGTGCCAAGATCACCACAGCCTGATGTGAAACATCCCCAGACTGCAATCCCCTCATTACAGACTCCCTGTCAGCCAGCCCAGCCAACTGTGACCACTTCAGAGCTAAGCAGGGGTGAGGCTGCACTCCCTGCTCATCCCACACCAGTGAAGATCAGGGCAGCTCCTGCTGCAGAGCAGTACAGACACCTTCAACTTCCTTTATTTCTTATGGATGAAACATTATTCTCACCTAAAAAGGGTTTTTTCTGTTTCCTTGCCCAGGAAATAGCTTGGATTTTGCCTTCTGTCCCTCGAACACCAAATCCACCAGGAACCAGAACTCCACTGCATGGGGATGAAGAGATTCCATTCAGCATGGCTGTCCCAAACCACACACCCACAAATCACCTCCCTCCCATAAAATCCTGGCCTTGCAAGGCCTCTCTGCCCTGAAAAGGGCCCTGAATCAGCCACGTGGCAAGGCCTGGCTGCAGCAGTTTCCACATGAGCTGTCACATAAAGAGGGGGAAATATTTCATAAATGCCAATATATATTTCATAAATGCTGTCACATAAAGAGGGGGAAATATTTTATAAATGCCAATTTCACCTTCCCAAAGAGAGATCCCAAATATCTCACAGGTTCCCATGCTGAAATGGTTCATGCTGTGGGACTCACACACCCTGCCCCAAACAGGTTTGCAAACACATCACCCAGCCAGGCCCATGCTGAGGAAAGCCCAGTGTCAGGTTGTCCCAACACCAAACCCTGCAGAAGGTTCTTTATTCTGCTCTCACTCCCAATCCTGAGGGGTTACAGGCCCCACTTTTCTTGGTTTTGTGCTAATTCCTGGCATTCCTCTGCATACCAATGCTTTTCCCCCCTCTCACACTATTTCTGAAGAACTTGTTACCCCATTTACACCTTCCATTCTCAGTCTGGCTTCACCAGTACCTTTCCTTCCTCCTGATTTCCTCTGTTTCCACCTGATCATGCAGGTGTGCATATCCTCACCACCATGATCATTTCCCCCACTTATTTAACAATTCCCCATTTAACACCTTCTCCTAAATGTCCCTGAGAGGTGTCTGGGGCCTTGTCAGAGTGTGCTGAAAACAGATTTATCAGACATTCTGCTGAAAACAGATTTATCAGACATTTCCCAAGGAAAGGGCCACAGCAGAACTTACTCAGCACCACAGAGCTTCTGCCAGGCCTCGTGGTACCTGACAGGCTCCTCCTGCAGAGTGTCTGGCTCCAAGTCAGCAGAGTCAATGTACTGGGAAGAAATCCAAAAACAGGATGATGAGATACTGAGACAGCATCATTCCTCCTGGAAACCTCTGGGTTTGTTTCCTAATGGATCCTTTAGTTTTTTTCTGGGCTGATTTTCCATCTGTTAGCCAACAAAGCTCCTTTTCTCACCCCCCTGTTCTTGGTGCACAATCAGAACCCATTTTTGTGTCCTCCCCTCTCTGCAGCCCTGCTGGGACTCACACCAAGTCCCTGAGCCCCAGCCTGTGATGTTCAATGTGAGGAAGGTGGGAGCATGGGGCTGTGCAGACACAAACCACCACACAGAGAGGAAAGAAACTATCCTCTCTCATCAAATAAACATCTCCTTCAAGAGGCATTGCAAAAGAAACAGGCTATGGTGAAACAGGCTGCTGTAATTAAAGGGTGTTATGACAATGGGAAAAAACCCTGCAATTTTTCCCATTTTCTCATCTCCAGCATTCCAGTACCTCTGAACTTCTGGATGGTCTGGCAGGCTGCTAACCCTTTAAAAGAACCATTTTGTCCTTCTTTTTTGTTTGTTTTTGGAAGTTGCAAAACTACCGATCAGTTCTTTAACTAACTACAACTACTCAGTTCTCCCTGCACAAGGCTCACAGAGCTCACTTCACTCCTGAGCCACTCAGACACAGCTGTGCAGGGAACACCCACAGATCCACGTGCAGGGTTTGCACTTTACCACTCTTGTTTTGTTTATTTTCACCTCTGCTGATTTTGAAAGTTGAAAGGAAACCCTGACCTAGATCAGCACTGTTAAAAAGCAATCACTTATTTCCATGACTCACTGACATCATGGAACTGCTGGGCATTTAAAAGTCTATTGAAATGAAATTTAAATTTCTAGCAACAGGTAGAATTCCTATGTCACCTCTTCAGAGCATCCAGCTACAACCAAGACCCCTGAAAGCATCTGTGCATCCAAACCAACATGAAAACCTTAATAAAGCCTGAGGCAGGAGCATCATAAAACCTGAGTACCACAAGGTTAACAGCAACAAAAAAGATAAAACAACAAAAAGGATAAAACAACAAAAAGGATCACTTATAACAAGTGTCAGAGAAATGAGAGCAGAGAGTGCCACCTCCAATCCATCCACCACTGTCACAGTGGAGTTTCCATCCATTCCAGCTCACAGGAGGACAGGCTGCTTTGCTCTGAAGCTGCTTTGCTCTGAAGCTGCTTTAGGCCTGATAACAGCTGTTTTAATGCTGTTATAATCAAAACAGCTGTTTTGATGCAAGGATAATTTGGATGTTCACTGGCTGAATCACTTCTCCCTTTCTGTCTATGGCTTTGTGAGAATCTGAGTCGGGATGGGCAGCAGTGTAGGTGGAAGCAGGATGGGTTTGAGTTTTTCCCCACGCACAGACCCAGCCCTACCTTGATGTCAAGTTTGTGGTTGATGGCCAGGGCAGAGTGCTCCAGGGCTTTGATGACAGATGCATAGGAGTCAGAAAATTTGGTGTATTTGCCCACCAGGGCAATGGAGCACGTTTCCAGCAGACGGTCGTACCTGCAGGACACCAGAGCACACAGGTTACTCCAGCAGCAACAGGACAGGGATGGAATCTTCCATTCTGCTCAGCTTTCCAAGGAATAAACAAACTTTTCCTGTTCTCCTCAGTGTGTCCAGCAGAGCTAACGTCCTTGCAAGAGTGACCTTTTACAATAATTATGATTTAGAAACATCAAAGCGAGATCAAACCCAGAACAATGACTGAGGAAAACACTTGCAGAAAGCCACACATAAATTAACTCCTCTCTCCTGATGATGCAAAGCCACTCTGAGCAGATCCAAGCTGCCTTTTCAGGAAGCTGTATTAGATTCAAAGGCTGCACTGAACTGCTAGGAGAGGATCAAAGCACAGCTTGGTGTATGTTTGTGCTGCACAGCATCTCCCCACGCTGCTGCTGAGCTCCTATCAGCAGCTCCACACACAGAAAGCATTTCTGCAGCCCCGAGGCTGTGCTGCCTCCACTCTCAATCCCCAGCACCTGGCAGCACAGGATTCACACAGAACTCATGGCCACAGCCAAGAGTTTGTTTAAAGTTTCTCTCAGAATTGCTAAATAACTTCAGCCCAGCTGGTGACAAGGGCATTCCCCATCAAAGGAAATGTTATTGACAGGGCTGGCTTGTGGCAGGCACAGAAATCAAGGAAAGCATCTAGATCTTGAAAATTGATTTCTTTTAATAACAAACATATTTAAGGCTTCAGTTGACATTCAAGCACTTTCTGAAAAGACTCTATTCACTATTTCCCCATGAACACTGAGTCTATTCCTCACAAGAAAAAAACCCCACAATTCAGTTTCTCAGTTTCAGACTCCAGTGTCCAAGGAGTCTCAGAACAGGTACCAAACACTTGTCTCACTTGCCTGAAAGCACTCTCAAAGATATTCTTTGACACTCCTGGCATCTCCACATAGCTACAAAAGGATTTCAACACTTTGTAATGTTACTTAGAGTTTGTTTTTTTTTTTTTTATAAAAAGGGAGGGCAGAGCTGTCCAGCTGTTAATAACTTCAAGAGCTTTTAATAACTTCAAGCTGGGTTTGATTCAGACAGTAAACTTCCAACAGAAGATAAGGATCTCACTAAGTTTATCTCACAGGATTTTATGGAGAGAAGGCTGAGGGAAGTGGAGTGGTTCAGCCTGAAGAAGAAAAAGCCCCAGAGAGAGGGAGACTTTATGGCAGCTTTCCAGCAAGAGGATTTATGAGAAACTTTTTAGTAGGGTCTGTTGTGCCTGGACAAGTGGTGATGGTTTTGATCTAAAAGAGGGGGGATTTAGGCAGATATAAGGATGAAATTTTGTACAATGAGAGGGGTGAGGCGCTGGCACAGGCTGTCTGAAACCCATTCAGCTGTTTTAGCAACATGTTAATGAATGAAGTTCAGAGCAGCTCTTGCAAGCAAAAGAAACCCAGTTGGAATAAAAGTTCCACATTCTAACCCAGTCAGGGTTTCTGTCCTCACCTCCAAGGGTCTGCAGGATCATCACTGCATTAAGGCTCAGCTAAACAAAGCAGGAGGAACAGAAGTTGGAGCTGTGGGATTTTTGGTTTCATCAAGCCTGACATCTCTGAGATAACACATAACTTTCATCTCCATTTGAAAGTATTAATAAAAATTTGTTAGTTCAACATGAATGCTTTGGGAAGAACCTCCCACAGCAGCTGTGGAAACATTCAAAGTGCAGATGGGGCTAAGAGCAAAAGTAGAAAACCAATGTGAGCATGTAAGAATAGACTTGAGGAACAGGAAATGACACACATTATCTCAAACAATCAACAACCAAGACCAGAAATAAATCCTGAAGTGTGCTGCAGTGTGCCCAGCAGTGCAGCTCACCTGTCTGCCATCTCCTTCCACTTCATGAGCATCCTCCTGGGCTGCCTCTCGATGGGAAGGTCCAGCCTGTGCCTGAAGTAATCCACAACTCCCTGCTCCTCCAGCAGCAGAGGAACCCGGTAGATGGAGGAGACATCATGGACACAAATCACCTGTTCAGAAAATAAGGGTATCATTAAAACAGCCATCCAGTGCCTGTACAATCATTTTTATTCAGATAGTCAGAGTGTTCCTCTAGCAGAAAACCACATGACCACCTAAACTTCCAGACAATAGCATTTTGAATAATATAACGCAGCAATGATATTTTCTGAAAAATCATTTCCTTAGGATTTTTTCTCCTGAGAAGCTGAAGAGGCCTCAGGAACAAAATGTAAACATTGATTATCTGCTGCTGTGAAATGCAACAGGTGCATCTGTGATTGGTCTCATGTGGTTGTTTCTAATTAATGGCCAATCACAGTCAGCTGGCTCAGACTCTCTGAGCCACAAACCTTTGTTATCATTCTTTCTTTTCCTATTCTTAGCCAGCCTTCTGATGAAATCCTTTCTTCTATTCTTTTAGCATAGTTTTAATGTAATATATATCATAAAATAATAAATCAGCCTTCTGAAACATGGAGTCAGATCCTCATCTCTTCCCTCACCCTAAGACCCCTGTGAACACCATCACAATATAACTATCAGTAGTTTAATACTGGCTTCCTTTTGCTTGAAAAAGCCATTTCTTCAGCACTTCCAAGGCATTGCTGCTCCCTGGAGCCCCTTGGGAAGAGGTGGAACACAGTAACCCAGCAGGAGAGTCAGCTGCCCAGCACTTCGTGTGAGCAGCACTCAGCAAAGTTCAAAGAACACCCCAGAGAGACTCCTGTGATACAGAATCACAAGTGAAGCTCCAGACAAACTGCCACAGGCACAGCTTCCCCCTTCCCTCACTGTCCTTCCTAACCAGGGCTCCCAGTCTGAGAGAAACCCAGGGCAATCTGTGACCCCAAGACACTACAGGGTGCCCCTCATCCAATTTGGGATTACACAACTATGAGCAAAGAATTCTTAGGTCAATGAGGAAAATCTACATCAACAGTTCTAGTGCACTGAAATGGGAAAAGATGGCTCAGGACAAATGTCACCTGTCCATTAATAATGAACCTGTACTTTAAGGATCCAAAACACACTGGCAAAACTTCTTTAAATCCTCATTTCTGCTGACTCAAATGAAAGCAGAGTTCAGTTCTGCACCAGTCAAACCTCCCTGGCTGCACATTTTCCTCTTTTACTGCTCACTTCTCAATCCAAGTGCAACAGCAGTCAGAGCAAGAACTACATAGAACTGCATTAAACTTCCTGGAAAGGGACAAGAGCCAACTGATTCTGAATTCCTGGCCAACAAGAGGTAGATATTTTACTGATGACACATCAACATTATTGCCAGCAGTGCAGTGCTTGAAATTGCAGGACTCAAGTTTGGTCTTGCTATAGAGCAGATCAGTAAAAATTACTTGACAGAACCTGGGATTGTGAAGTTTTATACTCAGTCTTTCACAAAAAGACAACATTTTGTGAGCTCCAGTTGGATTGCAAAGTGCTAAAACTCAGCCTACACACTTTTGACTATTTTCCAAGGTACACCTGAGAGTGTTACAAGTCTCAGCATAGAAAGAACCATGCAAACATGGAATTTCTGCATATCACAACCTTCAAGTGAAGCACTGCTTCTCCCAAACACCATTTCAACCTCTCCTCAAGGATTCTTGGGCAGAAGAATAATATTGTGAAAAGAGCAGAAGTACAGTCATATATCCTTTAAAACTAATTTTGAGTAATCTTTTCACCTCTAAATACTGGAAAATCTTGTTCTGTGTTCACAGAAGGAAGGTGGAACTATAATTAAGGTTAAAACAGTGATTCAGAAATCACCTTGGATTCCATTGAATCTTATACCAATCACCTCACAAGAAAACCTGGGTGCTGGCACAAAAAGAATTGGTTTAGCAGCAGGTTCATGTGTCAGGAAGGGAGGCAAGACAAAGCAGCAAATGAATTATGCAGCTACCAAAACACAGAGCTAGAACTGCTGCACTAGACAAAACCCCCCTCAGCATCTGACAAGCAGCTCCAGTATTTACTGCAAGGAAGCACAGACAGCAATCCTCACCTGTTCTGGTTCAACATGACAGAACATGGAAATCTTTTCTTTTACTGAGGTATCCAGTGGAGTGGAGCACCTGCAAACAATCTAACACAGCAGCAACATCAGGGTTGTGATGCAAACAGAAACACTCAGGCATTCATAAAACAAACCTCTAGAAAGAGCTGTCTTTGTGCAGCCTCTGATTTGGAAAAAAAAAAAAAACACCATAATTCAGTTTCTTTTCCTTACTTATCACCACTATAGAAGAGTTCTCACAGAATTACTTAGACAAGATTGCTGCTGCAACATGCCAGATTTTTACATTTAAAGCCACAAACTTTAAAGCTACACAAACCTTACCAGATCTGGAGAGAGTCCCAGACCTCTGAGCTCACGAACACTGTTCTGGGTGGGTTTGGTCTTCTGCTCCCCTGTCGAGCTTGGCTGGCCAGAGAAGAGCAGTGGGTGCATCAGATTGTGATAAGCAGCAATGATTCAGCAGGTTAACATCTCAGACATCTCATAAAAACTTTGACTCAGTTCTTGGACAATTCACTTGAACCATTTAATCCCCAGGACTGAGAGCAACAGCAGGAACCCAAATTCCAATCTGCCCACTGGAGTGCAGGAAGGAGAGGGACAGGACCCTAAGGTTTATCCACTGCTCCTTCCAAATACCTAATTTTCATATTTCTGATTTTTCTTTATAAATCACCTGGCCTGGACAGAAGGGGGAAAAGGGACAAGAGGACAACGATTGATCTGCACTCCATAATTATCAATCTGCTCTGTCAAATCCAGTTCAGTCTGACACAAGGAATCCTCATGCTGCATTTCTGCAACTCCCAAGCCTTTATTACACATTTACACCCTTTGAAAAGTTCTTTTCAAATTCCTGTGAGACTGTTTAAATACATCAGTATATAATCTCTGCATTTCTTCCAGAAGTTTATATATACACAGAAATACAGAAGTGTGGAGAGTTTTGTCAAAGAGTGGCTTGAGGAGAGAGGACACAGCCGAATTAATTTGGTAAAGATGTCCTAAGTAGGGCAGAGGCCTTTTTGCAGGCAGGGTGTCTATTGAGAATGTAGCAGACTAGAGAATGGAAAAGTACAAGACCATGGCTAATTCCAAGTCCTACACCTGCAAGATAGCGTGTCCTTGGGCCTAGCTGAGTATGATAACAAATAGTGAAAGACATGAGAAAAGAGAGATGTAACCCCTAAGGAATGAGGAAGAGTTCATGGTATAGTTTAACCAATAGATTGCTTGGCTTACAGAATATTCATAAGCTTATTATTTGCTGTATAAGTGTTTGATGCTTTCTTCAATAAACTGGACCTGTGATGAACCAGCTGGTGTCCTGGTCCCCTTCCTACGACAAGTTGATATATACACAGAAATACAGAAGTAACAGCACTTAAGCATTTCAGAAATACCTATTTAGGAAATTTTGGACTGAGGAAGGTTCTGCCCACCAGTATGTTTCAGGCCCTTACCTGGGGAACCAGGCTGACATGAATGTTGCAGAAATTCTCTCTTTTGGCCTTGAACTGGAACTGGCGGAAGGCCTCGATGAACGGCATGCTCTCGATGTCACCCACGGTGCCCCCGAGCTGGCAACACACACACACACACACACACTGGGAGTTACTGCCAAAACCTGCCCAAGGTGCACACTAGAGACATGAAAATACATAACAATCTACTCCAGGTGCTATTCTACTGCCATTATTTCCCTGCTGCAGACATTTTCTCATAGAAATCTTTCTTTGAGACTTGTTCGTTTTCTGGGAAGCAAGGGCCCCAGAAAGAGAATTTAAACAATTGTTATCAGCTGCTGTAGAATGCAATAAGATGCACCTGTGATTGGTTCATGTTCCATGTGTACAATATTAGAGCCAATCACAGGGCAAGCTCTCTGGAACACAGAGAATTCTCTTGTTTTTAGATTCTTTCTATTCTTAGCTTACCTTAGCGGCATCTGCAACTTCTCTCTTTATTCTTTTTAGTATAGTTATAATTATTATATATCATATATCAATAAATCCAGCCTTCTAATCAAGAAACAAGATTCTCGTCTTTCTCTCACCCCAGCAACCACCTCAGGTCGCTGTAATATTTCCCCATACATCAAAAAGCCACAAGAAAAACAGCTTCCCCTATGGGCAGCACCTCAGAGGCATCGGTTTGATTCCTATTTTCTAGTCAGAGAAAAGACTTAGATGTGAAAATTATGACTTATGAACATTAGGTGGCACTGAGAAGCAAAATTTCTGTTAAGTTTTAGGACTATACAGAGTGGGCACGTGCAGGAACAGATGTAAGACAGACAGTGCCTCCTTGGTACCTGAGATCTGGGCTTGTGATCCTGGCACAGAAATTGGCTGCAGGCAGAGTCCAAGTCACCCTGACCTGGGCTCTGTGACAAGCTCCCTCTCCTGTGTTGGCACATCCCAGCAGCCAGCTCAGCACTGCCAGAGCCCTCACCCTGTTCTGAGTCCTCCTGGCAGCAGAACGTTCCACAAACACCCTGAGAAGTGCCACCACTACCTTGTGCCATCTCCTGCTGCGTGTCTGTGCTTGAACTGGTCACTGGGAGGAGGAAAGACAACTGAGTCCAGAGGGGCATTCACCTTCCCTCCCTCCATCCACCAAGGGAGCAGAGGGCACAGCACAATTAACTCAGACTGGAATACTGAGTTACAAGAACTAAAAAATTCATTCTGTAGGTTAATTCATAGAATATCCTGAGCTGGAAGGGACCCAATGAGTCCAGTCTAAAATCCTGCACAGACCCCCAACAACCCCACCCTGGGCAACATCCCTGGAGCTCTGGCAGCCTCAGGGCCGTGCCCATTCCCTGGGCAGCCTGGGCAGTGCCAGCACCCTCTGGGGGAAGAACCTTGCCCTGATCTCCAGCCTGAATCTCCCCTGACACAGGTCCAGCCATGCCCTGGGGTCCTCTGGGGCTGCCCCTCATGAGGCAGCAATTCAAAAGATTAATAATTGAAATTAACAAGGGGAATTTTTAACCCATTCAATAACACACAAAGTTGAACATTTCTATGAAGAAAAATGCAAAATATTCATATAGATTAGTTTACTGCATACAAGAAACATAAGTGCCTACTTTTAAAAAGTTACAAACCTCAATCACACAAACTTGGGGTTCAATGCCATCTTCATCCACAGGAATCCGCGCCTGCCTCATTACCCATTCCTGTATGGCATCTGTGATGTGGGGAACAACTGGAAAAGAAACCCAGGCAAAGGTTAAAGCCCCCAAACATGTTTCTCTTTCTTAACTCATTAAAGAGCAAATTACTGACAATCACTAGCCAGGGCTCCCCATAGGGCTTGAGCAGGAATTTTTGTCTTTAAAGAACTGTGCATTTTTGAAGTGATTATTCTTGGCTGTAATTTTCAAGGGCCTTGGCAGGAAATTGAACCCTGCCTTAATTTAAACACATGTAAGCAACGCTTCCTTTAAGCTGAAAGAGTCAAGCACAAACTGTTCTTTGCCCTAAATAGAGAAAGTAACACTGTTTTCAACTGTTTGGAAAAGTCCTGGTGCCAACCAGCTGTGCAGAATGGTTAAAAAGAGAAGGGACTGATCTGATACTCACAAATCCTTTGGGTTTTCTAATCACATGAATTAACAAAAGTATTTACCATTTTAACCAGCTAACAAACAACCCCAAAGTGCATTGGTCTGAAGTCTGTTCACATTTATCACTGGGTACATTAGACAGCTGGACCCAAGTCCAGCACAGCCCAAACACAGGCAGGATGGTGCAGAGCCTCAAGCAAAGATGAAAGGCAAAAGCATCCAGCCAGGGTTGAAATATACAGAATGCACTTCTAAGCACCAGGAAAGAAGTTTTGCATCACCTTGGACCGTTTTGCCAAGATAATCTCCCTTCCTCTCCTTGTTAATGACATACTGGTAGATCTTCCCCGTGGTCAGGTTGTTGTCTTTGGTGAGTCGGATATCGAGGAAGCGCTCGTAGTTGCCGAGGTCCAGGTCCACCTCCCCTCCATCATCGAGCACAAACACCTCCCCTGCAGGCACAGAAACAGACACAGGCACACGCGTCGGGAACATAAGGAAACTCCTTCCCTGATTGCCACAGCAAGTTCAGGAGTGGCGAACAGAACTAAAAGCCTTTATAAGCGAGAGGAGCAGCGCTCTGGGGACCGAACCCCTTCAGGCAGCAGCAAGAACAGGCAGAGCACATCTGACACAGCAGCCGGCCCGCAGTGCTGGCAGGCTCAGGAGCAGGCACAAAGGCTCGTACAGAGACGATACACGGCAAGCCAAGGCAGCCACGGCACCACCCGGCAGCCCCCGACACCGAGCCCGCGGGGCACCCACCGTGCTCGTACGGGGAGAAGGTGCCGGCGTCGATGTTGATGTAGGGGTCGATCTTGATGGAGGTGACATGCAGCCCGCAGGACTTGAGGATGGTGCCGATGCTGCTGGCGATGATGCCCTTGCCGATGCCCGAGATCACGCCGCCCGTGACCAGGATGTACTTCATCTGCCCCGAGCCTGGACACGACACACACCGGCACCGCCTCAGCGCGGGCTCTGCCGGGGGAACGCGGTCTGGGCGCTGACATTGATGACAGCGACCCCCGGGCCGGTGCCCTGCCCGCTGACACTCCTGACAGCGACCCCCGGGGCGTGTCCTGCCCGCCGCTGAGGGCCGGTGCCCTGCCCGCTGCCATTCCTGACAGCGACCCCCGGGCCGTGCCCCGCCCGCCACTGAGGGCCGGTGCGCTGCCCGCTGACACTCCTGACAGCGACCCCCGGGCCGTGTCCCGCCCGCCGCTGAGGGCCGGCGCGCTGCCCGCTCCTCCCGCCATAAATTCCCGCCACCGCCGCCCGCGTGGCCCCGCCGCCAGGCCCGCGGGGTCCGCGTGGTCCCGCTCTGCCGCCCGCCCCGGTCGTGTCCCCCCCCTCAGCGCTGCCCGGATGGTCCCGCCCGCCGCTCTCACCTGGGGCCGCCGGGCGCGCGGACAGCGCGCGCGCGGGGGGAGCGGGCGGGAGGTGCGGAACGCGCGCGGCGCCGCTCCCGGCCGGCTCGGCTGGGAACCGCATGAGGCCCAGCTGCGCCTCTGAGCATGCGCGGGGCGGGGCGGGGCGGGGCGGGCAGGGGGCGGGCCCAGAGCCGGAGCCGGGATAGCCCCGCCCTCTCTCCCGTCCCGGCCCCCTGAGCGCCTCACGGAGGGCGGGAGCGGTGATGCGATCGCAGAATGAGCTGGGGTGGAAAAAACCTTTACTATCATTCAGTCCGACCTATGAGCTAACACCTCCTCATCATGTCCCCAAGTGCCACATCCACACCTTTCCTGAACGCTTCCAGGGATGGGGGCTCCACCGCTGCCCTGACAGTCTAGGCCAGGACAATCTTTCAGCGATGAAATTCCCAATAACCACCCTGAGCCTGCCCTGGCCCAGCCTGAGGCCGTTCCCTCTGCTCCTGTCCCTGTTCCGTGGAGCACAGCCCGACCCCTCGGGCTGTGCCCTCCTGGCAGGAGCTGTGCAGAGCCACAAGGGCCCCCTGAGCCTCCTTTGCTCCAGGCTGAGCCCCTTCCCAGCTCCCTCAGCCCCTCCTGGGGTCCAGCCCTTCCCAGCTCCCTCAGCTGTGCCGGAGGTGGATTCTGTCACTGTTGGTCACATTTTCTGCTGTCCGTGTGTCCTGCCAGCATATTTCCCCACAGACATGTCCCCTGGGTGTTGATGGCTCTGTGGGCAGAGATGTCTCTTTGCTTTCTGGGGCTGTCCCCTTGCTGCTGGCACTTGGTGACCCTGCACAGGAGTGCAGTGCCCGCTGCTCCCTTGGAGGAAGCATTTGCTTTCAGAATTACCTGGCCATGCTCATTTGTTCCTCCACAAAGCACTCTTCCTGTTTTCTGCTGTCCCACAAGTAGCTCCTAAGTGGGAAATTTAAAAAAACAACATTTCCAGCCCCTTTTCTGCAGAATGGTGGCCACGGGTTTGGTGGCAGTGAGATGGGTGACAGCAGCAAGGGCTGTGTGTGCTCGGGCTGTCACTGTCACTGCCTGGTGGCACATCCTGATAAGGCACAGGGAGGCTGAGCTCTCCCTTTAGACATCACAGCTTTTCCTATTTCATGAGTGAGGCACAAGACATTACACTTCAGCTATCAGACAAGTGTCTTGTAGCTGAAGGGAAGTCCATTCTTGTGGAGATGTGTGTAACCTCGATGTGAGCATTAACTTCGGCACACACAAATCCTCTTCTCAGTGCCTCATTAAAGGCCTCAGGGGTTGTACATCCCGTGGTGCTCAGGAGAGAACTGCACTCAGTGGGAGCTATTGTGAACATTAAATGGTGTGGAATAACAGTGACCCAGAAAAGTCAGATCACAAATATCTCAAGTTATGCAAAATTACATCTGCTTTTTGCTGAAGTGGGTGAAAGTGTATGTGGATGTGTGTGTTTCACCCTTAATTTTTCCCTCAGTAAGTTTTGCCCTCGCAGTGCCTTGTTCTCAGCTCTCAGCAAAATACAGACTGAATATTTCCCTTTCAGAAATGTGAAATGAGATGAAATGGATCTGCTCTGTTTATTTAACAGGATTTGATTCACAACAAAACAACTTAACTGGAAAACATTGCTGGGAGGACTGGCATAGCTGGGGGGAATGTTAATGTGTTACTGGGATTATGCAAGGAATGAATAGACTGGAATTCTCAAACTCTCACTTGAACTTCCTTGCTGTTTAGGGGCCTATTTGTACAGGGGAAGGTTTATTGTGATGTTACATTAATATAACATTAATGACAGTGATAATAAATTATATATTATGTATGATATAGACATGCAGTTATTCCAGTCAGGACAGCCTCCTCTTACATGGTCCCTCCTGAAGGTGACAGGGTGACCTGTTGCAACAAGATTTTGGGACTGAAATACCTTTTTCAGGCAGTGACTCTTTTCTCTGTGACCTGTCAAAGAAGTGGCTGAAGATGGCCCTGCACTGGAATGCTCCTGCCAGAATATCCAGGAGCTTGCAGACCCCTGTGGGGCTGTCACCCCACCACTGGGCAGCACTGCAGGGAAAACACTTTGTCTTTATTGTCACCAGTGCTGCTTATCACCACAGGTGTCTGATATGTACATTTAGCACCAACATATCATTTTGGGTGGACGTCAGCTCATGCTCTTCTGACTGATTCCTACTCCAAATGCCCTGCACATGCCCCGGGTGGCAGCAGTGTGGCTGAGGACATCCCTGTCACCATTCCCATGCTGACCCCATCCCTTGTTAGCAGCAGAGGGCTTTGCAGAACTCTGGTATCACCGAGGACAGACAGCACACTTGGAATTACAGAATCCCAGGATGGTTTGGGTAGGAAGGGACCTTAAAGGTCCTCTTGTTCCACCCCCTGCCATGGGCAGGGACACCTTCCACTATCCCATGTTGATCCAAGCTCTGTCCAGCCTGGTCTTCAACACCTCCAGGCAGAGCATCTCATGTGCTGGGCATTTCTGTCTCTGAGTACCTGTGAAAAGCTGCAAAATCTTGGCTGATTTTTAAGTACAGAATACTGCAAACAGCTAAAAATCAAGGCGTGGGGATGACTGTCGTATCACCATATTTGCCCTCTGTGACTGCTGAAGTGGTGATGAAATAGTTCCTGCTGTGACCCAAATGTCTTCTGAAGGGCTTCTTCAGTGGTTTGGGGTGGAAGTTCTTTCTTAGCAATGCTGGTGTGTACTTTCTGAGATAGGATAGGGGACTTCCTTCTATAGAGGTGACTGTAAAACTCCCCATTTTTAGGTTCTCCTAAGCAGCTCCCATCAGCACATGGTTCAAAGCCAGGATCCAGTGCTTGAACACACTGGGAAAGCTGTTCTGTATTTGGTTTCCACTGTGTGCTGATCACTGGGTTTCACCTCGTGATTAATATAAACTTCACAGGGGTGATGTGGAGTCACTGGCAAGTGTCAAACACTGTCCAGTCCCACTTCCACGCAGCAGGATGCTCCCTGTGAGCCTTCTGTGTGGCTCCTTGAGGTCTCCATTTGCAGGATTAATCAGGGTTTGTGTAAAACGTTCAAATCAAAAGTGTAGACTTTTACTAGTCTACATTTGTGCTCTGAACTGGATCAAGTTTTCATCTAAGTGCAAAGTAAACACATCTGTTACCCTGAGCAACCAAAGGATCTTGAATAAGATACAAAATTATGTAGGAACAAGAGCTGTTACTACATGTACAGAAGCACAAATCTGATGAGGAGCAGCTGAGGGGATGAGGGACAGAACAAGGGGAAATGGCCTCAAGTTGTGCCAGAGATTCAGGTTGGATGTTAGGGAAAATTTCTTACTGAAAGAGTGGTCAGGCATTGGCACAGGGTTCCCAGGGCAGTAGTGGAGACACCATCCCTTGGAAGTGTTCAGAAAATGATTAACTGTGCCACTTCATGATATGGTTTGTGAACAGGGTGGGATTCATGCAGAGGTTGCACTTGATGATCTTGGAGGTCGTTTCCATTTTTAGTTGACCTGTGGTTTTGTCTCTTGCCCTCTCACCTCACTGCACTCTGTCCTCTCCGCGATCTCCACTAGATGGTGGAATGCGCCAGTAAAAGAGTTTGTGCAGTAACAAAGGGACACCATCAGGCCGTGGTGGCACCCGTGGGGATCTCAGAGCTGCTCTCAGACCCAGATCCTGGAGCACCACACGTGCCCTGCGTGTTGGGGGACATTTGGGAGCTCCCCTCTCCATCAGTCTCTGCGGTGCCATCCCAAACCCGCTGGGACTAAAAAATTGTGATCCTTCCACAGGTCTTGATTCTTTCAGAAAGGGAGATTTCACCTTCAGGCCTCTTCCTCTCTGCTTCCTTTTATCCATGGAGAAGAGCTGCCTTTTTCCTAGGGGGCAAGGAGGGAGCTTTCTGATGTGCTGCAGAGCTCATCCGTGCCAGGAAGGGAATGTTTTGCCTGGAGAACTGTGAATAGGACAGCATGTCTCCAAAGAGAGGGGCTTGGGGAGGAAAAGTTCTGCAGGTGCAGAAGATGTGTGATGGGGATTAAAGCTCTCAAATCTGTGTGATGGAGCAGTGCTGGCCTTGGACAGAGTGCTGAACTGAAACCAGCTCTCAGCCCTGAGAGGTCGTGTCACAGTTCTGTGCCTCAGTTTCTCCTGTGTAAAATGGAGTCAAGGAGCCCAACCTTTTGGGAACAGTCTTTTGTTATCTACAATGAACTGGGTGTCAGAGCTCTCTGTTTTCATTACCGACTGGTGGGATTGTGCCCTCTGTACCTGGAGCTGGGGAGTTGAGGCTTTAATTCCACTCATGGCACTGTCCAGAGCAGGGGGCTGACCTGCACTCTCCTGGTTCCCTCATTTCAGTTAGAGCAGCATGTCCTGCACGCAGCAAAGGGACATGTGCCAGAGCCAGCTGCTGCTGAAGGGCTGACAGGAGCTGCTTGAGCTGCTGTCACTGGCCAGCCTGGTGAAGGTGTAGGCTGCAGAAAGGCCTTCATGTCTGCAGAAAGGCTCATGCAGATTTGATGAGTGGAGAAGCTGTAGAAACAGAATGGGATTGATTAATTAATTAATTAAACAGAATGTTTTCCTTTAACAAATGAAGTTTCCTTCTCTGAGGGGACTGTACTGGTGGTGGTTTTGCCTTTCCAGGGGGAAGTGTCCCTGCCCAGAAGCTTGGAACAAGATTTCCTTTAAAGTTCCTCCCAACCCAAACCATCCTGTAATTCTGTGATTCCGTAACACCTTTTTTCTGAGGACAGCAACCATACAGACCATGTGAAGCCTAAGGAGTGTCCTCAGTTCCCCCAGCACTCTGCAGGAGTGCATTTCCAGCTCATGCATCCTGGAGAGGCCAAGCCAGCTGCCACAGAGTGTGTTACAAAGACATGCAAGGACAAGAGGCAGGATTATCAAGAGCTGCTTCTCTCTACCTGCATGACTGAGCAAAATTTAATTACCTCTGCTCTCAGGAGAGCTGCCTGGCCCTTGTACATGAACCATGAGATTTAGGTTTGTAACGATTT